CATATGAACATTATCTGAAGTAATATGTCACTTGTCAGGCTCACTAACAAAAAATTCCCAACGTGTAAGCGGAGAGGAGATTTAAATTTCCCAAGCAGAGGGATAGATTCTAATCGTTCCACAAGGGCACAATGGACTTCCTGAACGTGACGTGAGAAAGCTACAGTCACTACCAGTTCGCGATTAAGCTTCGTCTTATAATCGCCTTTCCTTAACCCTTTGACGAGTATGCCCGTATATATACGGGCTGACATCCTCCTGCCCTCCATGTATTCACTGAGTGATCTTCCAGGCGTTAAAAAAAACCCACTTCTCAAAGGGTTAAATGGAAAATTTCAAAGCACTGCAGTTTCAAGACATTTACGCAGGAGGAAGAAACGAGACCTAGACGGGAGGGCATTCGGCACGACGGAGCACGCGGAGGCGCACCCCGTCTTGGACATGATCGAGGATGTCGGCTTGGATTCCTTGGAGGAACCGTATTGTCAGAGGAGGATCTTCTGCGAACTGGCTCGGCTCGGAGGTTCTCGAGATGGGAACATGGTCCAGAAATTCCTCTGGAACGGGGCCAACAAGTGAGACGACCCACTTTCTAAGCCGCTTCTCGGATTTCTTCGTTTATACGCGCGTCTGATTCTGATCCGCTCCTGATCTGATATTTTTTCTTCACAGGATCTCTGACCCCCTGGCATGCGTGATAGGCCTGCAGAAGACCTTCCGGAAAGTTCAAGCCGGATACTGTGACACTTTCTTGTCCAATTCCCAACCAAATTTATGAATTCAGGTCTAATGGATTCGAACTTCTCAATTTTTAACTCAGGTCTCAAGAGCAGGTATCTGCGTTACCCATTCAGCGAACCTCTCTTTGCTCTTGCCAAACCGTTTTCTAGCGAGATGAAAAATATATATTGGTAATCACTTCGCGTGAATCCTTCACGATGCCGCGGTCACGAGATCGCATGAACAACGGCACCAGAGACTCAAACGCGATTTTTCTCCCCAGCTGTCTGGTTAGTCCAGCCATCTCTAAGCCATCATCCGTCGATCAACCGCCAGAGTTCCTGCAGGATGGGCGGATTCTTTAGTTGAAGATGACATGTGGGTTCGATGGGAGTGAAGCGTTTCTCTATTTCCACTGACTATAAGTAACAGGGCGGAACGGAATCGCATGAGAGTTCTTGCACTCGCACGTAGCGATTGACGATTAATAACGAGTCTTTCATTTTACTCTATCTTCAGTGCAACATGGTACCTGTGTTCCTTAGTTGGGATCCTCATTCTCAATGAGCCACTTAGATACATTATTGTCAATGAGTAGATCAAACAGAATTATTATACATCCACTGCAATGCAAGTAATCCACTTGAATGAATTCTTTCCAATGTTTTTGTCAGATTCTTTTGCTGAAAATTTCCGCCTGGATAATGCGAGACAACTTCAACTTAAAATGTTTAAGCATGTTAATGTATGTGAATTCCAGAGTTTTATTGTCGCCTATTTTCAATGCGCCGATCGTGAAAATTCCTAAAAGAAAATCATTATAGACCTGAGAGTTTTGGAATCCACCCTCTTAAATGTGGTGCAACCTAAATCTAATCTCTACCAGAACAATGCATGTTTTGCTTTTCCAAAATAAGCAAAACCGTGAGAGTACTAGAAATAATCCCGGAAGTAGGCAGGAGGAAAACTTGATAGAAATAAGGCGAAAATAAGCTTAAGGAGCAGAGGGTTGTAGGGGGTGGGGCCTATGTATAATCTAATACTGTAATTTAGTAAGAAAACCAGAACAAAGGCGCGACCAGATGCTATGATTTTGTTAATATGTGACTTTTCACAAATGAGTGCAATAATTGATCAGACAGCTACGAAAAAGCCTCGAGAGTTTTGAAGGACACAACCTCTGCGATCTGGTTCGGTTATTTTTTTTGTCGCAGAAAATGCAGATGTCAAGGACATTCACTTCAAGATGTGCCCTTCCCAGTGCGTCACATCCCCATTTAAACGGGGATGTGAAGCGGGAGATGCGACGCACATACTCCGTTGCAACGTGCAATTGTCGCCACATTCTTCTTATACAGCCCTTCTTCTTATTCACTGCCCTGGGCATTTCCTGCGACAAAAAAAAGAATCGCTCCAAGCACCTCTTGCTGGAGCAATCCATAAGAGTAGCAGCAATAATTGTTACAAGATTCTTAGGATCAAATGAATCTGCGATGTATGACTACGGCATTGCACAGAGCCACTAATGCATCGCATGGAGCAAATGAATCCATTCATGCCCCGCTAAATATTTGCGATTCCATTCATGACTTACGGTTCCTATATGTGTCCCCTCGGATTAATTATATCTGAGTGGTATGAAGATAGATCATGGCAATCTTCTCGAGTGAATCATTCAGGAACAATGTCACGAAAACCCACCAACAACGGCATCGCATACTCAACGGAAGTGACGACAGACTGTCTGATTTTTTGCCTCCCACCTAACTCCCCCTCGCTGCCTGTACGTTTAATCCAAGATGGGCTTTGCTAGGTGCTGCATCATATTGCTCTTGGCCCCGTCTCGCCTCACGGCAAGATACGATCATGTCCCCTCGTCCTTCGACTGGACAGCCGAGCCGTCTCTGAGGGAATTCCTCGTCGATCACTCGCTCTCATCTGGATTCCTGCCCGGATGCGTGAAGAGATTGATCCTAGACGAGACAGCTCAGCTCAAAATTTTCGCCCTGAATGAAGACCTGGGCGATATGGAAGTATTCGTCGGCCTGCCCCAACAGGAATTCCCCACTCACCAGTCTTGCCTCCTTCACGTCCTTTGGCTCGAAGACGACTCCGGGTTGGCGACCCATTATCTTCAGCAAGCTGTACGTTCAACCTCTGGGTTCATTGTTGGGGGGAGGGGGGGTTGGGGGATCCGTTCTTCAAATGTCCTGCCTTATGAAGTAAAAAGTACACTGACGTAAAAAAAAAGCTTCAGAGACATCTTGTAGTCAAACTGAAGTTTACTCTTCAAACTTTTCCTCCGAAAGTATTGATTGTGGTGCAGGCATAATGGAACACATCACGGGAGAGAGTACAGGTAGGTACACAACGATGAAACAAATCTCGACTAAATCTCTGATAATCAGAGACCTTCCCAACCGGACTCGACAAGACACAGCCAGCACAAAAGGCAAGCAACTTTCGGATCTTCCAGGTGAACCAGTGGCAGACGAGATCCTCCGATTTCTACCTCCTCCTTTTCGGACAGAAAATTGGGACGACCAGGGCAAAGGAATTCCTGCCTTCCTTGGCAGGTGGAGGAAACTTCCTCAATATTGCGATTGTCTCTCACTTCAACGACAAGGTACAGCATGTTTAGATCGTTCTTAAGAGCTCGATTTCTGGAAATTTCCCGATTAGACAAATGTAAAGAACTTCTTTCACCGCCCGGTAGGTCGAGAATCTCCTGTTCTATAAGCCAGAAATTTCCTTTTCTGGAAACATCACAAGCGTGACATTTCTGACATCTTGGCGGCAAAGGAAGAGGGACCAACTTCGGATCGACGAAAGCATGCGCGAGAACAAGACTGAGTTAAGGGATATCTCAATGGTACCTCTCAGGGAGGAAATATTCCAAGATAGACTTTTGAACATGAGGGGAAAAGCTCTTCGCGTCACTTATTTGAATGTAAGTGGGGGGAGTGGGCGGGGGGGGGGGGGGGGAACGCAAGAAATTTCGTGACGGCAGTCATCAACGGAATCTTTCCGTTTCCCTCTGTAGGCTTTCCCTCACGTCTGGGAACGGAAGAACAAGGCTGGAAGGATCCAGATGGTCGGTTGGGAGGTCCAGTTGCTGAAGGAGATCGCACAGAGAAGGAACTTCACCATCGTGTCAGCTGAGAATATTATTTCGTTCAAAACTTAGGCAAGGCAAAATAATTTTTTTTCTAAATTATTTCAGGTACATAAAGCCGCCTGATGGAAAATGGGGTTCATGGGATAAAGAGAAGCAAAAATGGACCGGGATGCTGGGACAAGTTGCCAATGGCGTAAATCTTCCCATTCACGTGCTCTTCAGGTAAGACTTCCCCCTTGAATTCTGACTCACTGTCCGAACAGGAGGCAGATCTGGCGATCAGTGCCCACCGGATCTTCCCGGATGCCCTCGTTGCCCTGGATTTCTCCACATCCCTCGGCCCCACTGCTTCGACCTTCATCATCCAGAAACCCGGTCAAGAGTCTCGTTGGAAATCCCTCATCCTGCCCTTCCAGTGGCCGGTAATCCTTTCACGCATTTATACGCATTAATATATATATACACTATGAAAATACCCTTCTTCATAATTAAATGATTCTATTCAAGTAAGATAGAAAAGCCTGAAATACGTAATACCACTTTACAATATTCATTCATGCTAGTGAGAATAATGCACCAAAAATTGAACCCTACCGCTCAAAACAAAGAGATCACAATGATTACCATATTTTAAATCTGGAAAAGACTTCGTGATTTTTTAAATGTTGTTTCGTGTTACTTTTACTTCATGGAAGGATGTTACAACGAACGAACAAAGTCTCCATGGCGCAATTATAACAAAGAGATGGTGGTAGGATGTGAACTTTTTTCAATAGCTCCTAGCGATAAAGGAAATTTCAGCAAAAGAAGGAAAAAAGATTCCGCGCACATATTGCAAGAGGCAAACAAATATTTTGGGAAACATGAAGAGCCTCAAAATATGTAACATCAAAAAGCATGAAGTGCCCTGTTATGTTCAGAAAATTTGAAAACAGCCCCTCATGTATTTCTTGAATGAGGAAGCAGTGTTAAAATGACCCATGTGCAATTACTACTTTTACCCTTACTTTACCTAAAAGTGAATCCAGAGACCTCAAATGCTTCCATGATGATCGTTTGTCTAATACAGTTTGAATCTAGTACAAATTACTTTCAATTCGCCAATAGGTGAAAGATTTAAGGCTCCAATACCTTGAAAATCGATACGGTACCGGACTAAACGTGATATCCGCTACTTGGTGCAGGTGTGGATATTGGCCGCAGTAACTTGGTTCACTGCGGCGATTTGCAACTGGCTCTTGGCAAGATATGGCATCAGCCAGCCCCTTCACTTACCGTCAGACTTCATGGGACAGGCCCTCAAGCTAAGTACGTACCGCATTCTATTACTCTCAATTAATCAAACAGATGCCTTTCTGTATCATCAAATATTTTATCTGATTTACCAAGGAAACCCGAGTGAGATTAATTTACGCAACAACTCATTCGTTGCAGAATAACGAAAGTACGACTTCTGCACTCGTCATTGGCACGACTCGAGTTTTGGGGTGGGGATTCCACTTGCACCTGCTGCCCGGCCACAGTAACCAGTTGAGGGATTCTTTGGAGCTGCAAGGAGTGGGGGGGGGAAGATGGGATTGCACTGAACAGTAACTTTACTGGCTGTGGGACTGTCTGCTGTAATTACATGGGGGCACTGACAATATTCCAAACCCATTCACGCTTTTTTTTTATTAATTCGATAAGGGTAAGGATAAGGATAAGGGATAAGCTTTGGGTGGGGATCAATCCTTCGAGTCATGCCATTGTATAACCCATTACCTACATTCACATGAAAACAGCATGCTTCTGAAAATTTTGACGAAGTCTTTGTGTGCAATTGCCTTCAGCAAACATTCCTGACTGAAACTATATTACATAACCAATCTGCCTAGGCATGTCTCGTCACATGGAGAACAAGCAAAAGACAAGGAGCCATGCCCCTCGGATTTGGAGGATGTCCTGGTTGTTTTTTGCATATATCACGACCCTGTGCTACGCCTCGCTTCTCATCAGTTTCCTTGCGATCCCAAGGCAACGGAAGCCCATCGATCGCTTTGAAGATCTTGCAACCTCTGATTATTTTGTCATGGTCGAACGCGGCTCGCTCGAACACCAAATCATCCAAGTGAGAAATAGTTTTTTTTTCCCCATCTTGTATCGGACGCGAGAATCCTTAAAGTTTCCTTTGGTCATGTGCAGGATTCGACAGATTCCAAGATCGGACCACTGAATGAAAAGATGCTTCAACAACCACCTGATTTCACTTACCTGGAAAACGAAACAGACGGCATCGAAAATGTGTTGAAGAACGATCAAAATGCTTTAATCTACAACCGAGATATCCTCGAGGTACTCGTCAAGACATCTCTCTTCCCCAAAGAACGTAAGAATCCATTCTCCTGGAAATGTTGGTAGGATTCCTAACCAAACAAGCAAAAAGTAAAGCCATTCCTCTCACCCCCAGAGGAAATCATACATATCTCCCGCGAAAACTTCATGGAAAGCAATTACGCCTGGCCTGTCCGGAAGGGAGCTGCCTGGATTTCATCATTTAACGAAGTGTAAGTAATTCAACCAATTCAATTAATTTCTGATTTTCGTCCTCTTTTTGCTCCGTCAGGAGGAACATTGTCTGTTCCTGACGGGAGCGAAAAATCTGGCTTCCATGAATGAAAGAGAAGGAATTGTATCTTTTGCCATTTCTCCATCATTTCAGCCTGATTGGCATGTCCTCGTTCATGTCTAGCATTCGTGGGTGCATGGAAGCTGGTCTGCTCGACCGATGGAAGGAAGAGTCCATTCAGCAATACAGGAAACTGGAGCAAACTAAAGGAAACAACGAAACCGCAAAGAACGAGACGACGACCGAATCAGACGACATCAACCAAAGCCTCCAGCTGATTCACTTCCAGGGAGCATTCATCATCCTGGCCCTGGGCTGCGCGATGGCCACTGTGGCCTTCATCGATGAGCTATGCGTCTATGCCAAGGAGAAGGCCGATGCCATGAAACGTGATTTCATTCAACGGAATCAGAGAATACTTCATCAATTCCCTCGCAGCGAATGATGAAAAAATCAAGTCCCTCTATGTTCTATCTTGATTGTGACATAGCACCTTTGTTCTTTAACTAGGATCCTTATTCTCAATGAGGCACTAAGATCCATAGTTAGAATTGGTCTCTGACTAGATATCACTGAATAGAAATACGTCTTACACGATGCAATTGTTGATTTGAATGCGATGTCTTTTCCTGTTTATCCAATGATTTAACTTTTCATCTTTTTTTCCTGTTAGATGGACATAACGACGTCTATTTACCATAAGAAGCAACAATTATTCACCATATCTCTAGTGTCATGGCACTAAATGTTCCCATCACTTCCATACCCGCACCTGATGCAAGCATCAAATAGGTAAATAAAGTATCAAGCAGAACAAAATTCCCTCAGAAGATGTCACCAGGAGATGCAAACGGAGGAAAACCTGTGAACAGAGGATGCAAGTCTGGGAAGGGTTCAAAACAGGTTCACTCGGGCGGTTATGGAGGGCTATGAGAATGATTATGAGCCTGATTAGTTGGCTCAAGCGATGAAGGTAAAAAGCAAATGCCAGGAAAGGCAATCGCAGGTTTTACCTTCATCTGGGTTGCCGCTCCACGATCAGGCGGAAGACCAGCTGTCAGCTGTCCTTTTAAATTTCTTCAATATTCGGGATAGATGTTTTCTATCCGACGAAAACCTTGACAAAGAAAATTAGGATTGTATATGCCCAACACCTCCATAGAGAGAAAGCAGGGCCGTTTCTAGGCATATTGGCGCCCAGTGCAAGGAGTTCCAATCCCCACCAAATCAACAACTGCGACGCGAAGCACCACCGCAACTCTAACGATTAGGGCCTTATCCCCGAACTGATGGAAATCATTTTGTTACATTTGTAAATAATCAAAGTCAAGTCAAGGCATTTTCTTCCACGCTAACTATTATATTTGTATTTTAAAAAAATACTTGTTTTTATTATTGTGTTTCTTTGCGCCCTTTTCGCCCCCCCCCCCCCCCCTCCTTCCTCCCGCAGGCGCCCGGGCGATCTTCCGCTTCGCCCAACCCTAGAAACGGCCCTGAGAGAAAGCACGAATAATGGAGAAGCACGGAGATATGCATGTACTATGTGCACTCAAACGGTACCAGATCAAAGTGGAAGGGGTGGGGCAGAACCACGATAAAGAAAACCAAACGAGGTCAGGCAGGGAAATGGGTTTCGCCAAAGGTTTTCAAACCAGGCGAAAGAGTAAAATCTATACTATATTTCAGAGTGTTCCAGATGAGAGAATATGAACCAGAAATTTCCTCTGGGACGCAGCGAACATACGGAATGATATACCTGTTCTTCCCAAATCGCATCTCGCTCAGATTCTTAACATTTTCCCAGAATCCCTGCGACGCCTCCATGTGCAAAGTCCGACCGACACTTTGAATTACGTCGGCTTGGAGTTGAGTTTTTCATTTTCGACTCAGGATGTGGTCACAGGTTACCTATTCAGCACATCCTGTTCTTGATTATGTTCGTGAATTATTTCTGAGCGAGATGAAAAAAATATCACGACAACTGTTCATTCGAATCACTCACGAAGCCAGGTCACGAAATACTGTCAGCATGGAACTTTAACGAGAGACGACTGAATCTCTGATCGCCTCCAGCCTTCGCGTATCTTCCCTCTCTGCCCACTTCTAATCAAATATGGACTTTGCAAGGTACTGCCTGCTCCTGCTCTTCGTCTCATCTCGCATTGCGGCAAGATACGATCATGTCCCCTCGTCCTTCGACTGGACAGCCGAGCCGTCTCTGAGGGAATTCCTCGTCGATCACACGCTCTCACCTGGATTCCTGCCCGGATGCGTGAAGAGAATGATCCTTGACGAGACAGCTCAGCTCAAATTTTTCACCCTGGATGGAAATCTGGTGGAAAAGGAAGTATTCGTCGGTCTGCGTGAACAGAAATTCCCCACGTACCGGTCCTGCCTACTTCACGTTCTCTGGCTGGAAGATGACATAGAAATGGCCACGCGGTATCTTCAGCGAGCTGTACGTTAAACCTCTGTGGTCATTGTCTGTATGTGTGTGTGTGTGGGGGGGGGGGCGTTATTTAATATCCTTTCACATGTTGAGTGACACTGATCGGTAAAAAAAAAATAGTTTCATTGACAGATAATGAGATCATGTTACGATGACTCATTCTCTTCATTCTCGTGTTCCCACTCTTTAATCCAAATTTGCCCAATCCACATAAGAGACTCTAAGTTTCCTCTATTATACGTTCACTCTGGGGAATAGTAGTCCGAAAGAGGTCCCGTTGCCATGGTAACAATTATCAAGTTTGTAACCATTTCGTTAATTACCGCCAGAACGTGCAAACGAGCGGTGCTGAACTTGCCTGTCACTCAAGAGACTGAAATTTGCGAATACAGATGTTTCAAGATGCTATGCAAGGATATAACATTTATAACAAGGATATAACAGCGATTCATTTGGGTATTGCAATCGTTCTGCACAATGACTTCCGCTCGGCGGGTTCGTGTGCAGGCAGCTTTTGGAATCGGGATTTTTCATCTACTAAGTCAACTCATCTTGAAGTTTCCACTAAATACAAAAAATTAGTCGAATCTGTCAAAGTGTTCTCAAGTTGAAGTTGCAAACTTCACATGAAATTAAATTGTGGACGAATTCGGATACCAAATTACAGGATGAATTTTTTCCCCTTCTAGCAGAATTGATTGATGCGACAAGTTTGATGCGACAAGAACGCGATTGATTCCTGTGGTATTTTTCTGGGTTCTCCCAACATAGCATACTCCGAAAAAATACTCGTATGTTATGCCGTAATCAACATGCCACATGGTATCAGGGGGTGAGTGGGGTTATACCGAGCGGCGGGTAAAACTGAATAACAACGAAAAGTGCGAATAACCAATTTGGAAAACGCATGAGAACCGATCATTTGTGCTGCCGCATAGGCCTGATCAACAGTTGAGGAAGTCTATGAAAATTTTCGTGACTTGAACAGCTTTCCGATAATAAAAAAATCTTCATATTCTGCCATCTTCATTTTGATCGCAATTGATGTAGTTGTAGTACATATATAACTGCTGGACATAGCTGTCTTCGCGCTGCGTGAGATCTGACCGGTTCGCACATATTCGCGCGGAAAAGAGGAATCATTCTTCCGAAAAAATGATTGGATCCGCCATATTTTTTCTCTTGCTAGTCCGTAAGAGCAAGGCTTCTTGATTGTCAGCGTTGCGGGGTAAATCCGGACAGGTGAAGGCGGGAGAAAAGTCAAACATTAGGATTTACCCCACATACCGGAGCGGCATGCAGACGACGACGTCGAAGCGACGGACAACCTCGGACAACCTCATGCTGAGGTTGTCCGTCGTTGAAGTTGTCCGTCGTTGAAGTTGTCCGTCGTTGAAGTTGTCCGTCCTCTCTTCTGAGAATCGCAGAAGCAAATGTTCATCTATCCTCAGCGCTGACCCAAACGCCCAAGGAACGTACTCGAGCGATCTCGGAACCCTCAAACGTTCCTGCAATCCCCCTTCAGCTTCTCAAGTCCCTGTGGATCCCCTTTTGCTCCTCAAGTCCTTCTCAAAAAGGTTTAACCGCTCCCAACTGGGGAGATCCAGAATAAAAAGCCAGAAGAAAGGAACGCGGGTACGTCAGAAGTGTTCACTGCAACTCACATGAAAGAGGTTATGAAAAATTCAAGAGAATAAAAAAAGGATCTTTAAATATAAAATAAAGAAAGTAACCGCGCGTTGAGAAGAAACTTCTAACCAAAAATAAAAAAGGATAGGAGAGGTATTCCGAATGAGAAAATGCGTTTGGAGACCAGTGAAGAATACTCATGCCTCTTCTGAGATGAGGAATGCACGAAGCCACTCGTTCAGGGCCGGGCGATGTGCTCCGTGCGTGAGAAGCAGGCATACGAAAAGTGCACCGACGGGGTTCCGTGCACTTCCAGAGGATGCGCGGACGACTTCTGCTCATAACATTAGAGACGATGTTTAGATTTACCCCAGGGTTAAAGCCGAACGAAGCCATTTTTTTTTATAAACGCAACAATCGGCAACAATTTTGTTGTTTTATTCTTAAACTGCAACACTTTAACGAACAGAAAACGATTGAAAGTAATGCTCAAGTAACCATTCCTGGCCTGCGAAGCAGATTTTCCTTCCGTTTTCGATTTTATCCATTTCCTCCCTACCCTACTCAGCCCAAAGAGCGAGGAAACATACCTAGTGTCAGTAATCAGTTGGATTCGAAGAGGGTCGCAACCCGAGAAATTAGAATTTATAAACTATTAATAGTCAAAGGGAGAATAAAAAAAGGTGATCAAATTTGGAACCAATCTAAATTATCCTCATGTCCAGAATCTTATTTTCGGGCACTGCAGATTGGGGTCCAAGCATAATGGAACACGGCCCTGGAGAGTAGGTACACAACGATAAAATCCATCTCAAACTAGATTGATTTCTGAAAATCAGTTACCTTGACTCGATAAGCTGTGAATAAACGGCAAGTCATCTTTGGATTTTCCAGGTGAGCCAGTGGCAGACGAGATCCTCCGATTTCTACCTCCTCCTTTTCGGACAGAAAATCGGGACGGCAAAGGCGAAAGGACTCCTGCCTTCCTTGGCAGGTGGAGGAAACTTCCTCAATATTGCGATTGTCTCTCACTTCAACGACAAGGTACGCCATGTCCTGATCGTCAATGACGGCACAATTTCCAGGAAATTTCCCAATTACACGAACAAATACAACACGGTAGATCGAGAACCTCCTGTTCTACGAGCCAGAAATCTCATTTGCGGCAAACGTCGCAAGCGTGAGATTCCTGACATCGTGGCGGCAATGGAAGCGGGAACGCATCGAGGAAGAGAGGCGGGAAACCGGCAATGAAAGGAAGACCTCACGGAGGCCTCTCAGCGAGGAGATATTCCGAGATCGATTTTCGGACATGAGGGGAAAAGTTCTCAGCATTACTTATTGGAAGGTAAGTTCATCGGGGGAATGAACCCCATTCCAAGGGCTTTCCTCACGAACTTTTTCTTCTTCGTAAGAAAAGTCCTTAACTTGTATTCGTTGCTACCACGAAATTCTTACCAAGTTCGTAAGATTGCTGCATAATTCCGCTATTCGTATCCGTATAATAGTCCTTATATAATAGGCCACACGATTCCCATGAGATACAAATAGTATTTCCTAGGAACTTGTGGAACTTTCATTAGGTACCCTCAATAAGGCAAAGGTTCGTACCACGTTCCCAAGATATTACGCCTCAGGTCATGAGGTCATTCACATTCATCCAATCGACTCCCTTTCCCCCCCCAATTATTTAAATAATTATCTGGCACAGATCGGGCAGTGGGGAAGGTGGTGCTCTTCCTTATCTTCCTGAGAGACGGAACTCCTCTCGCCTTTGCACTCGACTTCGAGTCCATGTATTTCTTTTCATCAGTTCCCCGCACTGAGGAGACACATCTCACTGCTACCGAATACAGTGCCAGAGATTTCATTTTTGCCTTAACCCTTGAGCTCAATTTCCCCAGCCAGTGTCAATACATTCTTCCGTCATCCTATTTCTCCTGATTTCTTCACTTGTAAAATTCATTGGTCAGCCACTCTTTTCCCCCACACCCATGAACCCATGATACGGAGTGTAGAACTTATCCTTTTGCGCTTTTTAAATCTTGGGCTAGTAAGTTATAAGATTCAACAGTACGGATTTTATAGAGTGGTCTCGAAAACTCGGCAGGACCTCCAATAATGGTACAAATTTACTGTAAGAGCAAAAAAACAACAGTACGGAAGCGCAGGAAGTTTGCAGACGGCTCCATCGATTGACCCATTATCATAGCTACTAAGTATCATGAATGCCAGCAGTATTTGCAAGAACGAGATGAGGACTTGCGATGCTTCGCGAATAGAATATACGAAGTTCAAACGAACACCGTAAGAATATCAGATTTATCGATATCAAGTCTCGACATGATTCCGTTTGAGTATGATATGCCACATAGTTGTTTTTTTTATATTTTATTTTACTCTTTAGTTGCTACAAATGAGTCAACATCTATTGCTGTAGCTACATCAAGTTCCCCCCCCCCCCCCCCCCCCCCAAAAAAAAAATATTTAGTGTATTGATGAAGCGCAGTGAAGCTGTATCTGAATTTGCAGATGAGCTACAAAGGTATTAATTTAAATGAAAACTGACAGTATGGATAACAATTTCATGCAGAATAACTTTCGTCTTTTCATTCGAACGTTTTTCTGAATGGGAGTAAGCATGGCTCTGAACAGTTATTCAAAATAAGTTTAGTCAAATTGAACACGAGCCTGTCTGGTCATTCTGGAGTCCCCAGCACATTATCAATCATCAATTTCCTTTGAATGATCGTTCGTAGATTCTCTCTGAGGCAAAAATGTGCATAAAAATTCATTGGGGTGTCGGGAACAATAAGTTACACAGTTACCATGAGTCACAGTTCAAGTATCGAACGAACAGATCATCCAGGTGCAGAAGTAGGTTAAATGTCGTGAGTCTTTTTTGCCATGCCCTGTAGAACCAGCAGGGTATAGCCATCTGATTCATTAAATTGCCACGAAGGATTTTCGGAAGGAAAAAGAATCATAAGCAGAACGTGTATGGCTACCTGCCACCGGAAGGGGAAAATGAGGGACTTCCAACGAGGCTCGTAGCCGGGTTTCTGGATGATGAAGGTCGAGGCAGAGGTGCTGAAGGGGGTGGGGGGGGGGGTGAATCGTTTCTCCTTTCTCACGATCTAAGCTGAAATCAATGTGATTCTGAGGGGGCGCCTCAAAATGTAAAAAAAAATTCTTCTCTTGAGCTGGAATGACCCTCTAGTATTAGACCATCGGATTATGGTTCCATTACCTTGATAAGTGAAACAGAGCCAGTTTAAAATTCGCTACAATTTCTTGGTGCAGGTCTGGGTGCTGATCGCATTGACCTGGTTCTCTGCAGCGACTTTCAACTGGATCCTGGCTCGATACGGCATCAGCCAGCCCCCTCACTTACCATCTGACTTCATGAGACAGGCCCTCAGACTCAGTAATACACAATTAGTCCCTACTAAGCGTACAAGAGCCTTTTTTCTCAATAAATTTAACCAATTTTCCAAATTAAGAAAACCTAAAACGTGAAATAAATTTCAAGCATAGTACAAGAACGGAAACTCAAACCATAAACGAATTTCCGCCTTTTCATTGACATTAGAATCCGTCCCCACTTCTAGGCATGGCAAGGCACAAGGAAAACAAGCGAGCAACGACCAGCAATGCCCCCCGGGTCTGGAGAATCTCCTGGCTCGTTTTCGCATACATCACGACCCTGTGCTACGCCTCGCTCCTCATCAGTTTCCTCGCGATCCCAAAGGAACAAAAACCCATCGACCTGTTCGAAGACCTCGCAGCCTCCAATTATTTTGTCACCGTCGAACGAGGCTCCCTCGAGGATCTCGTCATCCAGGTGCGAAAATAACGGCCTTTCCGCCTCGCATAGGGACACATTATGCAAATATTTTTAATCGTGTCCCGCCCAGAACTCGACAGACATGGAAATCGGACCTCTGAACGAGAAGATGCGCGGACAGCCACCCGCACTCACTTACCTGGACGACGAGGACGAAGGCATCGAACACGTGGTCAAGAACGGTCGCAGCGCCTTCATCTACAGCCGAAATATCCTCGAGGCGCTCGTCAAGACCACGCTCTCTCTCGAAATACGTAAGATCCCATTCATCTTGATTTGACCGAAGATTCCAACTGCAATCTGAAAGTGAAAACATTCTTTTATTCTCAGAGGAAAAAATTTACATCTCCCACGATAATTTCATGCAAAACGATTACGTCTGGCCCGCCCGGAAGGGAGCTGCCTGGATCCCCTCATTCAATAAGGTGTAAGCACATTACTTCCAATTCATTTTGAGGTGTTCGTGCCAAGTAGAAGGAAAATAATGATTAAATTCAATTTTCTTCCGGTTGTTGGATTTTCACTGTCCTTTTATCTTGCACATTGTCTTTGCATAGCATTCGGCGGTGCGTGGAAGCAGGTCTGGTGGACAGATGGACCGATGAGTTCATTCAACAATATAGACGACTGGGTGAACATGAAGAACATGAAGAAATGGAAAAAGAAGAGCGGGAAGAAAAAGGAAAACGAGAAGTTAAAGGAAAACGGAATGAAAAAGAAAAACAAGAGGAAGGAAAAAAGGAAGAAAATGAAGATACAGAAGAAGAAGCAAACCCGACGAACGAGACATCAGACGAGACCCGAACCCTCCAGCTGATTCATTTCCAAGGAGCATTCGTCATCCTGGCCGTAGGCTGGGCGCTTGCCGCTGTGGCCTTCATCGAGGAGTTAATTATACGCGCCAAGGAGAAGGCCGACGCCCAGAAACGGAGTTTCACGGGACGAAATCAACTGAGCGGTCACTCACTTCCTCGCAGCTCCGATGATCGATATCAAGTCTCGACATGATTCCGTTTGAGTATGATATGCCACATAGTTGTTTTTTTTATATTTTATTTTACTCTTTAGTTGCTACAAATGAGTCAACATCTATTGCTGTAGCTACATCAAGTTCTCCTGGAAAATGAGGAACCAATCTAACAGCCAGTTCAGTCATTCACTTCATAAATGATGGACCTTATCTTCGTCAGTAAGCATCACAAACCCCGTCGCACCCAGCAGAATCTCAGCAAAAGGTGCGTTAATTAAGAAATTGCAGTTAAAGGGTCAAATAGGCTCCTCATTCTCAATTAGGCTTTTTCATTAATTGGATTAAGTACAGGTTCATGAGTGGATCAGACGAAATAAAAGAATACATCCACCACGGTGTAAATAGTCCACTTGAATGCAACGCACTTTCCTTTCCATACCCACTTCTTTCGCTTCAAGTTTTCCGATCAAAGGGTCTCCCAGATAATACATGTTACATCATGCTACATCATTCATGAACATGGGAGCACAGGAATGATAGCGGGTCTCAAAGCGCTGTGGTTGAGCAAAGGGATTATGATGAAGATAAGCCTCACCCACAGAGTGAGGAGTGAGACTGGCTCTGCATACTAAATCAAGAATAAAGAGGGAAAGAGTTTTTCCACATATTTTTTACGAGACAGAACGGCGATGGAAGTACGAACGATGCCTCAAAGCTATGTTCGCCAAAAATGGATTCATGACAAATTCTACTGCGATGTTTTCGCATATCGAGGGAGTTTCATCGTGCAAACGGGAAACTTGAAATATTCAAGAGTATCACATGCAGCATATTTCATCGATCGCATCGGTGTTTACCACGCATCAGGCGGATGTACGCATCCCGATCAGACTGCGTCGATCAACTCGAACAACTTGCTGAAACTGCGTAAGAATAGATTTCATATAGATTTCAACAATAACCAAATTGCAGCGGGGCCTCGAAAAGGGAAAATGAAATCAGAACATGACATCTCAATTGAAAAGGGAAGATATCACCAAGTTACAAGAAATTTCACTCAGAGCTTCAAATGAAATAACATTGAATTTGAAGCATCGAAAATCGCAATTACTGGTTCTTGTAAAATTCATCTTGTGATCTCACGAGTGTTTAGCATTCAGGTCAGGTCAGGTCAGGTCAGGTCCCAAACCCCATCTCCAAACTTCCATTCACGAATGACTTTGTGTTGTGTAACATAAAAAAGCATCATCGTTCGAAATGTGGTCTCAGATACAATCGTTTGCTTTCCTTGTTCAACCTTCTCTTGTTTTGTTATTAAATTATCTGTGAGAGAGATGAAAGAAAGATCGTAGCAATCATCCACCGTGAATTATTCACGAAGTTGGCGTCACGAAATTCCTTCAACAGTCATGGCATCAAACATTCAAAAGAAGGAATGACGACTGAATGATCATCTGTCTCGACCCCTTGCCAGTGCATTCAGTTCAAGATGGATTTTGCAAGGTACTGCCTGTTCCTGCTCTTCGTCCCATCTCGCATCGCGGCAAGATACGATCATGTCCCCTCGTCCTTCGACTGGACAGCCGAGCCGTCTCTGAGGGAATTCCTCGTCGATCAGCCGCTCTCACCTGGATTCCTGCCTGGATGCGTGAAGAGACTGATCCTAGACGAGACAGCTCAGCTCAAATTCTTCGCCCTGGATGGAGGTCTGGCCGAGATGGAATTGTTTCTCGGCCTGCCCCAACAGGAATTCGCCACTTACGAGTCCTGCCTCCTTCACGTACTTTGGCTCGAAGACGATCCGGGGTTGGCTACCGAGTACCTCCAGCAAGCCGTATGTTTGACCTCTGGATTCGGTTGGGAAGGGGGGAGGGGGGGGGGAGGGAGTAGGCGTTCCTCTTATATCTTTCCAAAAGTTGAGTCACATTGGTCCTAAAACACAGTTCAAGCTCTAAAAGTTACTAAATTCTTGAGACAGTTACCAATATCAATTTAAAGTAGTCGTTCCTCGTTATGTTCTCGCTTTTTTTCTCGGTGGAAACCGCAAGATATGACATGAATTTTCCTCCAATAGGCATTCCCTCTTTACCCAAACCTTGAAATACCTACAGGTTTTCTTTGGAACAATCGCTGCATAGAGATCATGCAATGCTGATTCGATTATGGTTTTGAAGTGCCAAGTTTTAATTTTTTGCGCGTTACGAGTTTCTCGAATTCACAATTAAAGGTAGTACCTGTCAATAAAATGCTTCTCAAACTACTTTTCTGCCATTTCTTTGCTTCAGCTATCTTAAACTCTCAGTTGAACCGAGTCATATTGCCTCCTGCGCGACGAATCTAGCATCTGCCTCGGGGAACACGGGTAGTTTACCCTATGTTGACCCAGGTTAAAAAGAACAAATGGTTCTGGGATTTACATATCGCAAATATTCATCAGATGTTCAGTATTCATCTCAGAATCAACTAATGCTGAAAATGCGTCAATTTTTACAAGTAGACAGCTTAGCTTCACCGTGTTTATGAAGATAATTCGACGCCGCCTCCAGCAAGACGATAAAATGCATTTCGACCAGGATTCACTTATGTTTAGCAATAACATTCTGGACTCGACGAGACAGTGGCGTAGGCAGGAAATCGGCAAGGGGAGGGGGGGTTGAGGCCAGAAAGATCAACCCTACGCCTAACTCCACTACCCGGAATTTACCTTTCAAAGAAATCTTGGTCTGGCATCTTGGGTCTGTGGACGGACCTTAGACATTCCTCGAAGGGGTACAGCTAAAATTGGAATTCCCAAGGAAGGTTGAAATATGCCTGTCAGTATCACTGACCGGGAAGCCCAAGTAGCCAAAGCCCAAGTTCTAACCCCCCCACCCCCCCCCCCCCCCCCCCCCCCCCCCCCCCCCCCCCTTCCCTACGCCACTGCGACGAGACCAGACTGACCTTGAGAACCAACAAGGTTTCGAATGTTACAGTTGAGCCATTGGCAGACAGGATCCTCCGATTTCTTCCTCCTCCTTTTCGGACAAGAAGTCGGGACGAGGAGAGCGAAGGCCGTCTTGCCTTCCTTGGCATATGCGGGCGACTTCATCCACATCGTGATTGCGTCGCACTTCGTCGAAAAGGTTCAGCGAGCATCGCAAGCGGTATCGCTTCCGTCAACTTCCACATTAAACGACCGAACGCATTTTCTTCGCACGAGGCAGGTTGAGAATCTGGTGTTCTACCAGCCAGAAAGTTCTTTTTCGGGGAACGTCACGAGCGTGAAATTGCTAACCTCTTGGCGAAAATGGAAGCGGGACCAGCTTCGAATCGAGGAAGACAGACAGGAAAACAGGACACAGCTAGAGGATTTCTCCGCGAGGCCTCTCAGCGAGGAAATATTCCAAGATCGATTTTCGGACATGAGGGGAAAAGTCCTGCGTGTCACTTATTTGAAAGTAAGTTCGGGGGCAAGGAGGGGGGGGGGGACGGATTTCGTGATGGAAGTCACGAATGAAATGTATTTCCTTCCCTCTGGAGGCTTTTCCTCACGTTTGGGAATGGACGGACGAAACAGGAGGGATCCAGCTGGTAGGATGGGAGACCCAGTTGCTGGAGGAGATCGCACGAAGAAGAAACGTCGTCATCGAGTCAGCTGAGATTGTTTTTTTTAATTATCGATAACTAATAACAATGATAACTAATGTACCACATATAACCACTAAAAAAAAATTTCAGTTACATGAAGTCGCCTGATGGAACGTCGGGGAGATTCGACAAAGCGAAGAAGAAATGGACCGGAATGTTTGGCCAAGTCGTCTACGGCGTAACACAAATCTTCACATTCAAGTGTCTCATCGGGCCCCTTTCTCTCGAATTCTGATTAAGAATCTCCACGAACAGGAGGCAGACCTGGCGATCGGCGCCCAATTGGTCCTACCAGATGCCCACTCGGCCCTGGACTTCTCCACCCCCTTCAGCACCTCTGCCTCGACCTTCATCATCCAGAAACCCGGTCATGAGCCTCGTTGGAAGGCTCTCATCCTCCCCTTCCAGTGGCCGGTAAGAAATACGCATCTTTTAATGTGTTTTACGCTAATACTTCGTTCGCCAATCCAAAGGATGTTGTGTTCTTCCTTCAGCGGCGCAGTGAGGAACGGGGAGCAGGCAAAACGCAAAGAAAGAAATGACGCAGACGCGAACTTAGGTCCTGCGAAAATCGAATTTAAAAAAAAAACTCGAAAAAGGGTTTTACAGCACCCAACTAGCCATGCTACTACATGCAGTCACGATGATAACTCACTGAATACTGCTTGAATCGAGTACAATTACAATTCATCACTAGTTCATCAACTGAGGGCTTCATTACCTTTAAAATCGTGACAGGGGGGAAAAGTGATATCCCTTCCTTGGTGCAGGTCTGGGTGCTGGTCATATTGAGCTGGTTCGTTGCGGCAACCTTCAACTGGATCCTCGCACGTTACGGCGTCAGCCAACTCCCTCACTTACCAGTTAGCTTCATGGGACAAGCCCTAAGACTCAGTATGTATTCAAGTCACATTTATTCACGCGAGAGCCGTTGTATATATCCCATCAAATATTCGATTCAAATATTCTGTTAAGAAAGTAAGACAAGATTGCGCGGCGACTTCAACAGGAACAAAGAGGCTCGCGTGAAGACGTTACCTCAAATTTCGCATAAACACGACCGATAAAATTCCGGGTGAAATATTTGATCGCATACAATGGCTCTCGTGGAACCGAGACTGGAGTGACATCCACCTCCTCCATGCCACAGGCATGGCGCGTCACGTGGAAGAGAAGCAGGCGACCAGGAGCAACGCTCCCAGGGTCTGGCGGCTATTCTGGCTCTACTTCGCGTTCTTCACGGCCCTGTGTTACTCCACGCTTCTCACCAGTTACCTGGCGATCCCGGCCGAGCAGAAGCCCGTCGATCTGTTCGAAGACCTGGCGATCTCGGATTATTTTCTCATGCTCGAACGTGACTCTCTCGAATTCCACGTCATCCACGTGAGAAAATACATCCTTTCTTCCGTCTCGAATTGCATGAGGGAATTTTTCGACGTGACTCGCCGTGTCGCGCAGAACTCGACAGACGACGAGATCGGACCACTAAATGAGAAGCTGCTTCTACAACCACCCGAACTCACATACCTGGAATCAGAGTACCAAGGTATCGAAAACGTGGTCATGAACGATCAAAATGCATTCATCTACAGTCGAGATATCCTCGAGGCTCTCATCGGGACCACTCTCTCTCCCACCCAGCGTAAGAATCGATTCATTTTGACACATTTGAGGATTCCGGTTCCCATCGTCATTTCTTTCATCCTCAGAGGAAAAAATCCACATTTCCAAGGACGATTTCATGCAGAACTATTACATCTGGCCCGCCCGAAAGGGGGCTCCCTGGATCCCTTCATTTAATAAAGTGTAAGTCCTTCAATACTCTCAATCCACTTTTGGCACTGGTGTTCTCTCAGCTTCCTCGTGGATAATTAGCATTTTAGCAATTTCTGCACTTCTTCCTTCAAAAATGGCTTCTCAGCATGTCATCTGTGCACAGCATTCGTAGCTGCGTGGAAGCTGGCCTGGTCGACCGATGGAAGCGCGAGTCCATTCAGCACTACAGGCAACCGGGGCAGACCGACGAACCCGAAGAAACCCCGAAGAAGGAGACGGCGACCGAATCGGACGACACCAACGAAAGCCTCCAGCTGATTTACTTCCAGGGAGCATTCATCATCCTGGGCCTGGGCTGCGCGATCGCCATCGTGGCCTTCATCGACGAGCTCTGCGTCCACGCCAAGGAGAAGGCCGATGCCCAGAAACGGGATTTCATTCAACGGAATCAAAGGATGCTTCATCAATTCGCGCGCAACGACTGATCAACGTCGAGTCTCCGATTTTATTCTGTTCGTGATGTCACACGTGGGTTCATTAATGTGTTCTTCATGAAGGTCTTAGATCCGTAAAGCTAAAATAGGTTTAGACCGCAAAGAATAGACCACACCTGGCACGATGCAATTGATGCACCTCAATCCAAGATTTTCCCCTTCAGGCTTCTGGTCAGAGGAAGGAAAGCGCATGCCCATTTCAAGTTACGGTATAGAACCTTTCTTTTCTTACGCGTCCTTCACGCCTATATTCATGTTTCGCCGTTTCCTACCGCAGATTTCTCAGACGAAGTTCCAAACGTTAAAAATACATCGGAACGAACCTTGCCCGTAAGAGCTGCTACACGATACCCCAGCGTTTCCCTTCCAGAGAATAAACAATATGCAACGGAGGAATCGAGAAAGTTATCATTGTTCGTACGAGTGCCAAAAAACATTGAAAATAAATTCGGTCGATGGCAATTACTGAAGGTTTAAGGAATCACCTCGGTTCGTCCCGACGGTCGAAAGAATCGGGAAATGTTTCCCTCATCTCTCTCTTCGGGACACGTGGACGTTCCAAGCATTTTTCAACGATTCAAAACCGTAGGAACCCACCTGACCTGCGGCCTTTCGAGTGGCGCCGCTTGGTGGCTCTCGCGTCGGGCAACGCGGATAGATATTCTTGGCTTGAATTCATAAAATCACTCGAAGTAAATTTTCGAATGCAGTCCACTTTTGCCAAATGCATAATCTTGATATTGGACCTTTAAAATAAAAAGCAAATGTTGACTAACTTTTAGTGATCATTATCTCATTAAAATGCCGAGGAGGGGACTGAAAATATATCCGTAATGGGACAAAATTGGCACGCTGGAGCTTTCAGGAAACACAGATTCTTATTCATTGGGATTGAAGACTGAAAATCGTCTCGAAGAGGGAATTTCCCACGCGGGATTCCTCGGCGGAACCTGCGAGACTCATCTTTGACGAGCTCGAACGGGGAAAAAAAAATTGAGAACTCGAGGAAATTCAAAAGTATCTGATAATATTTATTAGAGCTCTTCTCGTATGTTTAGGACGTCGGCTCGTCAACTTCAGCAGGGTTGGGAGAGGAAGTCGCGCCTCGCAAATAGTCTTAAATAGTCAAATAGCCTTGAACCCTGCTCGACACAAACTATAGCCATCTTCGCGTCAATCGAGACAACACAGGCGAAACCGGTACTGAAACATGAACGTGATAAGAAAAAAAATGGAGCAAGAAACTGAAACGAGTCAACGTTGAACACCGAAAGAAACAGAGACCACACGAGTCAACGAAGCCAAGATTCCCTCATCCACGCGGAGTCCCTCGGAGTCCCTTGAGTCCCCCGGAGTCCCGCTGTCCAATCGCGATGGGCTTCAGCCTGCCAATTAAATACAGGTCAGAATGCTAGTAATGCTAATAATAAATAAAATAAAGAATCACTAAAAAAATTTGTGTTCTGCATATTGCCCATCCGCAAGAACGCAAAACCGCCACGGATTGATGACTCACCGAGGAAAGGAACGTCAGCAGAGAAGCGAGTCGAGAGATCGGGGTCAGAGCGATTCGCAGCGAGAAGCCTGGCCAGCCTCTCCAGCAACGCCTCTATCACCTCAAATGGGGGCCTGTTCGACAACGGGTGACATGCCCCGATTGAGGAATCGGAAGAACACGTTGGTGAATATGAACGATGAACATAAATGGAAGCCATTTTTCTATTCAAGACACCGCCCTGATTCAGACTTTCGAAAGGAAAAAGAACCGGCTGACAGCCGCAAGAACCTCACGTTCCTCCCATACCGTTTGTCGGGGTCGACATCGCAAGCGACAAACGCGATCCCGCACAACGCCTCGGGACACTCCCCGCAGAACCTCTCGCGGAACTCCCTCTGATCCACCCCAAAGTCCGGCAACCGAGGAAGGAAGTCCGGGTCGGCCGGCACCCGCCCGATCACCTGGAACCCCGAACCTTCTCACCTCGCACACCACGATCCCAAACGAGAAGACATCCACCCTCACCTCGCACACCACGATCCCAAACGAGAAGACATCCACCCTCACCTCGCACACCACGATCCCAAACGAGAAGACATCCACCCTCTCGTCGTACTTCTTCCCCGTCATCATCTCCGGCGCCATCCAGTACGGATTCCCGACCACGCTGCCGCAGGTCCTCCCGCGTCCTCCCAGCTTCCACCGGGCCAGGCCGAGGTCCGCCACCACGACCTTCCCAAGCGGCTGTGGGCAACGAACCGCTCGGTTCAACTCGGTCGAATGGCAGACCACTTCATGCTTCTATGATATATTTATTTCATAGTAAGGTACTCGGATGAAATTTTTCCGACACGAAACGTCGACTTGTGACTGAGCTGCAGCAAAAAAAAAAAAAATTAATTAATTAAAATTGATGAGGTTTCAAGCGGTGTTGTTCGTGCAGAAACTGATTAAAGCTTCGCCCTGACATCAAACGAGGAGCCTCCGTTCTCTTCCCAAGGAGGCCAACAAAATAATTAATTAATATATGAAAATATAAATATATCAATGCGATCGAGGGATACCTCCCGAATGAGACAGTTGTGGGAGTTGAGATCCCGATGGATGACGTTCATCGAATGGAGATATGCCATCCCGCTGGCGACGTCTCTGGCGAAACGCGCTCGCCGCCCCCAGGGAAGCGGCTCGCCGCTCTGGATCGCGTCCCTCAGCGTGCCCCCGCTCAGATACTCCGTGATGAGGTGGAGCCGCTTGTCCACGTACATGACCCCGATGAAGCGAAGTACGTTCTCGTGATCCAGACTCCTCAGGAGAGCCTCCTGCCACGGAAAAAAAAAGAAGTAAATAATATATATGTAGATTGTCATGCCTCGTAGTATAATGAGTATAATAAATATAGTAAAATAAAACAAGCAAAAATTAATAATTTTTCACAATCGACCCAAAATCTCAAGCTGAAAATTTCCCTCACCTCCTTGAGAAAGTTATTCTGCGCTTCCTCGTCCGAGCGATAGAGCTCCTTCAGGGCGAAGACCTCCCCCGTGCCCTTGTGCGTGACGCGGAAGACTTGCCCGAAGAAGCCTCCGCCGAGGAGCTCGCCACGCTGCAGGTCGCCGGGGCGGAACAGGCGCTGGGGGCGGGGGGGCAGGTGCCGGCGGAAGGGGGACAGGTGCTGGCGGAAGGGGGACAGGTGCTGGCGGAAGGGGGACAGGTGCTGGCGGAAGGGGGTCCAGTTCTCTGCCGAGGGTCTGGAAGGATTCAACGACGTCCAATTTCTTAAAAATAAAAGTATATAATTTATTTATAAAATGAATAAGATTAATGTAAAAAAAAAAAATAAAGACTCACGCGTCCAACAGGCGGCGTTTCGATGATTGGATGGATCTGGATTCCTTTCTTCCAAGGAGATTTTGAAAGCGTCCTTCGCTCGCGCAACTAAAACCAGAAAACTCTACGAATATTAAAAATGGTCGATATTAAAATTATAGATGTAAATTATGCAAAAGACTCACTGGGACATGCGCGCGCAGTTCGGCAGCGGCAAGGCGTCGGCGATCCGGATCGGCCGCGGGGCGTCGCCGGAATCGAGGCGGCCGATTCTCGGCGTGCTTCTCGCGCCCTGGGCGTGCTTGGCGTGCTTCCCCATCGCGGGTGGCGGCTGGGTCACCTGGAGGATAAAATAGAATAAATATAAATATAATTAATAATACAAATAAAATACAATTTATCAAAAATACTTTTGATATCTAATAAAATGAAATTTTTGGTTCGGAGACCATTTTTGAACTTCAAATTCCGTCCTCGAAAGTTAAGCAGCGGCGTCGTCGCGGGTGGCAGAGCGAATCGAGGACATTCCGCACGATGGATTCAAGAGAAATAATATCAAATCGGCAATTATGACGGTTATGATGAGATAATCTGACCGAAACTGGGGACCGTCGCTCGGTTGATGTCGACCGAGGACGTTCGGTCGAGGATCGGACGCCAGTCGACTTAAACAACGACCGGACGACCGTGTTCGAATGAACTCACGCGAATAGAGGGACCGACTCACAACCGACGGAGACCGAAGAAATACTGCGAAAGCCGGCCCAAGGCTTCTGGCAGGCGAGAGAGGTGTGTCTCTATCCTTCAGCCTTTTTTTTCAATGCGATTTTGAGATTTGTTCACATGTTCCAATCGACGGTAAGGTTGGTTTTTCATCGATCGAATGATATGAAATGAATGCATTTCTTCCGCCTGTAGGTAAGTCTGCGAGCATGCGGTCTCCCCAGAAAATTTTTTTCCGAGCAAATGGGCCGTTCTCGGGTGCAGACCGTGTTTTTTTTTTTTTTTTTTTTTTTTTTTTTTTTTTTTTTTTGCCTGGCGGCGCCCACCTGCTTCAACGGGTAGCAGAGGATTCTAATATGATGGTGAATCTCGTTTCGTTCTTCACTCCCCATGTCGCCGAGGGCGGTCTGCACCCGAGAACGGCCCATTTGCTCGGAAAAAAATTTTCTGGGGAGACCGCATGCTCGCAGACTTACCTACAGGCGGAAGAAATGCATTCATTTCATATCATTCGATCGATGAAAAACCAATCGCTTGAAAAGCCGCCAATCGAAACGCAAGCGAGTTCGAGCGACTCCAGGCGGCATCCCCGAATCGAGAATCAAAACGCCATCCCAAGGAGGTCCTCGACCTCCACTCAGCCCGACTGAGTGGAGGTCGGTCCTTCGGAGGCCGAGAAGGACCGACTCGGTCCTTCGGAGGCCGGGAAGGACCGACTCGGTCCTTCCGCCTTCCCGGCCGAGGGCGAGGGTGCGACATCTTCCTCGGTCGGAGTGGTTTCGTGGGATCACGAGGTTCGTTCGCTAATTGTTTCGCAAGGTTGTCTTTCGTCCCATTTACTTGGTTTAAGTATCCTTTTCGATCATGATCGAACTTTCATCGTAACTCGATCATCATGATTCGATATGGGTCTAAGTATCGCACCCAATATCTGATAACTCGATCATCATAACTTAGATGATGACTGACGTCACGCTGCCATATGTCTCCCTGTCGGCTGTCGTCAAAGATGGCTCCCTACTAAGCTGTCCGTTATCCCAAGTCTCTTTCACGTGATATTTATCGTGAGGTTCATAATGAATAGAATAAAACAGAGGCGGCGACGAATCCAGTTATTTCCGGCTATCACAACTAAAAATCGGATATCCCAATGGCTTTGTTCCTCCCTTTCTCAGTCTCGAACAATGCTCGGGTACGCTTGTCAAACGCAACAGGTCAAACTCGGTTAAGTCGGGGACCGGATGGGATCCTTCAGGGGTGGTTGAAGGCCGCATTAACGCATCTTACATCAAGTTTTTAATGCGAACTGATTGAAGTCTCAGCGCTTTTCCAAAGCCAACCAATGAAGTGGACTTCGCGGGCCGGACAAAATGAACTAATGGCCGGATCCGGCACGCGGGCCGCCAGTTTGACACCTCCTGGTCTACAATGTACATAATAATAATAAAAAATTAATTTTCGTCCACGGGAATTCACGTTTACCGAACTGTGCAAATGAAAATCAGCCCACCTGAACCTTGCCCTCACGCACTTCGTCGAGGGTATGACCCAGAGATACGGTTTTTACCTCAGCATGACGTGATCCTTAACTACTGTACTCTAATAGACTGCTAGAAATCGACAGCTAAGAAGCAGGCTCAAAAGGCGCATTGAATTTTGGCGTATTTGTAAATTCTGATTTTGGCATTCAGTATGCACAAAGAGTAGGCCTACAGATATGGGTCATCTGAGTCATCGATTGCAAATGCTATCGCATAAGAGACAGAAACGGCATCGATAACGCAACCATACTGTTCAAAGCAATCGTTCGTTCGAACAAAACGGGTAAGAAAAATTGTTGCGATCCCTCGATCGAATGTCCGTTCTCTTCCGTTCACAGATATTAGTATACGCCGCAGCGAAACTCATTTCAGGATGATCTCCACAAATGAAGTGAAGTTCACGAAGGCGTCTGGCCGAAATATCGGCGCCGAAGCGGCTATAAGTCCGTGTATACACTGAAATAAAAGAATGCGGAGCCATTCGCACCTCGGACACCTCCCGGCAACAAGGAGAGCAAAATGCAAATACAAATGCTCACGGAGGAACCACTCTGCGATCCGCTGCAGAGCGGGTGACGTCATAGATGGGCTGTGGCGCATGCGGAGGTCGGTGGATCATGGCGACTACCACCTTAGTCTAGTCACTGCGGTGGACCGTGGTCCTTTGGTTTTGGTCGGACCTAGGTTAGGTTGCGAGTTATAGGCCTACGGATGCAATGTCTAATTGGTGGCCCATGGTTCAGGGGTCACCGAGGGCAAAGGCCACGCCTTGGCTATTTCCCAGCAGATTTAGGCCTGACGTTAGGTGTGCATTGATGCCATATTCTGACGAGATGTGATTCTATTCNAAGATCAGTGTGACAACACAAGAATCGCAAAAAGCAGTCATACACAAACTCTTTAGATGTTGGTCTATTGTGAAAGGTTTCACAAGCCTTTCATGCCACTCAGAAACATTTCTTGGAGCTTGAAACTCTAGGAACGATAGCATGAAAATCACAGTGACACAACCGCAACTCAAAAGGTGGGAGAGGGCTCATGTTTTTGCAAATCGTTTTCATTCTATTTCATTTCATTGGCAAATTTTGAAATTATGGAGTGAAGTGGGAAAAGATTTTGAAAAGTGATAAAAGATGAGCAAATTTGATAGGTACTGTGCAGACCAACGAGAATAGCGTACTGTGACATTTTCAGAAGGTAAAATTCAACAGTATGGAATACGGACGGGAGAGTAAGGCAGAGAGGATAGTAGCATTGACTAAACTGAAAGAAAACATTACGCAAGAGACAACCGCGTGGTAGCATGGAGGAGTATGGTCGAGTTGGGAGAGGTGAGAGCTGAAATGAGGATAGCAGTAGGTAGCATAGAGTAGCATGATGCACACGCGTGAGAAGAGAGTTAAGGCAATAGCAGCGGATAGCATGGAGTAGCATGGTGTAAAGCCTTGAAGAGAGGGTTCAGAGGAAAGTAGCAATGGGTAGCATGGAGTAGCATGGTTCAGACACGGTAGAAGAAGGTACAAAGGAGAGTAGCAATGGGTAGCATGGAGTAGCATGGTGCATACACGGTAGAAGAAGGTACAAAGGAGAGTAGGAATGGGTAGCATGGAGTAGCATGGTGCAGACACGGTAGAAGAAATTACAAAAGATGGTAGCAATGGGTAGCCTGGGGTAGCATGGGTCGTATGGTATATACAAGAGAGGAGCTAGATATAATATATTTCGCCGAAAGCAAATGGAGCCTCTACCATGCAAATACAAATGCTCACGGAGGAACCACTCTGCGATCCGCTGCAGAGCGGGTGACGTCATGGATGGGCTGTGGCGCATGCGGAGGTCGGTGGATCATGGCGACTACCACCTTAGTCTAGTCACTGCGGTGGACCGTGGTCCTTTGGTTTTGGTCGGACCTAGGTTAGGTTGCGAGTTATAGGCCTATGGATGCAATGCGATTAACCACCGGGTACCAAGTCCCCAGTGGCTCCCGTTTCCGGTGCGGAACCGATAAAGGGTCGTCTAAATCCGGACTGCAATCCACACGTAACTACGGTATAAGACTGCTCTACACTAAGATAAGATGCAGGCTTAACGTTGGGTGTTGGTCAGAACCTGGAATCGATACCATTCGGCCTACTGAATTCGCCTGAGACCTATCATAGGGCAAGGACTGATAGCGTTGAAATTCCCTGACGCAGCATGGTGAGTTCTGAATCTTATTTGCAGCCAAGTTCAGTTGCGACTGCTGTCTAGTACAAAGTGACACTTTAATTTAAGGGGCAAAGCCAATCGTCAGGAGGGACCGGTGGGGACAAGAAGGATGACAAGGACAAGAAGAAGCGTTATGAGCCACCTGTTCCCACGAGGGTCGGCAAGAGGAAGCGCATGAAGGGACCAGATGCCGCCAACAAACTGCCTGCCGGTGAGCCTGCTCACTCCCAATATTGTTGCCCTTGACTTACATTGCAGGAAGAACGAAGGGATAGAGAACTAGACAATATGAACCGGAAGTAGTTACCTTGAAATAATTTCCATCGTTGACTTTTCACACAGTGACACCTCACACAAGATGCAGACTGAAGTTGCTCAAGATGGAGCGTATCAAAGACTACCTGCTGATGGAAGAGGAGTTCATCAAGAATCAGGAACGTCTCAAACCCCAGGATGAAAGGAATGAGGTGAGACTCTATAAAAAAGGCTTCCAATCAACAAAGACAATATTGTTTATGCCATTAGGAAAGGGAATATACATGACTCATCACTCTACAGGAGGAGAGATCTAAAGTGGATGACCTCAGAGGAACTCCCATGTCAGTGGGTAACTTGGAGGAAATCATTGATGACAACCATGCCATCGTGTCAACCTCAGTGGGAAGTGAACATTACGTGAGCATCCTGTCCTTTGTTGACAAGGACCAGCTAGAACCAGGATGCTCAGTTCTCCTGAATCACAAGGTTAGCTATAATCCAGCCATCTATCTGCACCTTATGAGATCACACTGGGAATCCTGCATGGTGGCCAGTGAGCTACCAAAAGTTGACCATTGCTCTATAATATTTCTCTTCCTTGTTATTCAAGTAAATTTGTCTTGACAATGTAAGAAAAAGGGTACATTTGGGTAAGATTTATATCCATACAAAAAAACTGCAGCTATCAAAAGTCATTGATATAAAAATAACTGAAGTAATTTAAAGTCATGACAACAAAGTTTATCCATGAACCACTTGCATGTTATGAACATGAAAGTGATGTCAGCTATTTACTGGTTCTTTTGTCTTATAGACACAATTGTAATCTCTTCTGTATTTGCTGACTGAACCATCTGATCTAAAAAAAAATAGTTTGTCTCCCATGTAGTTGGAAGTTGCATAATTTAGTTAATATGATTTGATGATGGTGCAATTAAAAAAATGATTTGCCCCAGTACTTAATGATTAAAAGTCAATTAGTTAATAACTCATGTCCAGACTTTTACAGGAACCTCTCTATCCCACAAACTGGCTGTCAACTTTTGGTTGATGAAAGTTTTGTGAACTTTAAGTTACCATTTGGTTTCAGGAATTGCCAATTTCTAATTTTATAGGAACTTCAAAGAGATTTTTTCCTTCATTAGAGTTTCAATTATTCTGCAGGTGCATGCAGTTGTGGGTGTTCTAAGTGATGATACTGATCCCATGGTGACCGTGATGAAATTGGAGAAGGCTCCACAGGAAACATATGCTGACATAGGAGGTCAGTGATCTTAGGCCCTGCATTTTACATGCATCCAAAAAAGAGGCATTTTAACCTATCTTGTATGTTTCACACCTCCATCAGGCCTGGATACACAGATTCAAGAGATCAAGGAGTCAGTGGAGCTACCCTTGACCCATCCTGAACTTTATGAAGAGATGGGCATTAAACCCCCTAAAGGAGTGATCTTATATGGCCCCCCTGGCACTGGGAAGACTCTTCTTGCCAAGGCGGTTGCCAATCAAACCTCTGCCACCTTTCTGCGTGTTGTTGGTTCTGAACTCATCCAGAAGTATCTTGTAAGCTCATAATTAGTGCAATCATGCATTGGGGTTTACAGTGCAGAAATTCATTTGGTTTGGAATCTTTTTTGTCTATTTCAACCAGGGTGACGGACCCAAGCTGGTGCGAGAACTGTTCCGTGTGGCAGAAGAGCATGCTCCGTCTATTGTGTTCATCGATGAAATCGATGCAGTAGGAACAAAAAGATATGAGTCTAATTCTGGAGGTGAACGAGAGATCCAGCGTACTATGCTCGAACTTCTCAACCAGCTGGATGGTTTTGATTCTCGTGGGGATGTCAAGGTATACTAGAGGCATTTCTTATCAGTATTTTTTCTGTATCAAGCAGTTTTGCATCATTTTCATGACTTTACTTTCTTTGTGCCTTCAAGGTTGTTATGGCCACAAATCGGATTGAAACACTCGATCCAGCTCTAATTCGTCCAGGAAGGATTGACCGCAAGATTGAGTTCCCACTGCCGGATGAAAAGACCAAGAGGAGGATTTTCCAGATACACACTTCACGGATGACCCTTGCACCTGATGTGAATCTAGAGGACCTCATCATGTCTAAGGATGACCTCTCAGGAGCTGACATAAAGGTTTCTTTATTGTATCTATGCTTATTCGAAGCTCTTAATTTCTGCATTTCTTGGTTAATGGCTTTTTAGTACTCATTCAAGTTCAAAGCATGATTCAATCCAAGTGGCGAGTGAACCTTGAGTAAATATGCCACCATAGACTCTCATCAATCTGAGGGAGAGTTGCATTTTTTGCTTCTACTGATACCTGCAGGGCATTTATCCAACCATTAGCAGATCTACTAGAATAAAATGAAGAGCTCTGTTCAAACCCAGGAAGCAAAACTAAAAGTTATCTTCAATGCCAAGTTATGATGGAAAGGATAGTCCTATAACCACAAATAGAGGATTGGGACATAGGAAAGGAGGGTCCCATACCTCATGTATTTTTTTGCTTTTCAGCTGAGGGAAGAAAAGCTTGCATGGTTCAAAAATATTTGGGAATGCTAAGTATGGTCCTTTATTGTATCTCTTTCATAAAGATCTGGAGGAGGGAGGGGGCAGGTCTGTGGACCAGAAGGATTTCCAAATTAACAAGAATCCCAGGATAATGATGGATATTATTATGAAGTGATGATATAATGGGATATTGAATGGTATTTGGATGGAGTACCAAATATTTAGCTAACAGTTTTCCTTTTTTTTTTTTACTTGCAGGCAATTTGCACAGAAGGAGGTCTAATGGCATTGCGTGAGCGCCGCATGAAGGTCACCAATGAAGACTTCAAGAAATCCCGTGAGAATGTTCTCTACCGTAAGAATGAGGGAGCTCCTGAAGGACTATATCTATGAATGTATTTCCTGGAGTGTTTTATGCCTGCTATGATCATTGAGGAGGAAAATGTGCAAGATTCTGTCAAATTGCATTTTCTTTCATAGCCACAAACACTCAGCAAGGGAATGCCACAGTTTAAGCACGTTTATGTCTGCATCGAGATCGCATGATGACTCCGGTGTTGAACACCATGGTGATGAATCGAAAGATGTATGCACCAAAGAGACATGGAAATGGCCACACCTAGTAAATAAAGAATGAGATTGTAGTTTCCCGGGACAGTATCAGTCTTGGTATACCCTTGCTCGTCAGTATTGTAACTTACGTCACTAGTATCTACCTTCCCAGTCACGACTGTTCGGTTGAGGTTCCATTTCGACTCCGTATTGTCATAGGAGACAAATGAAGTCAAAAGCCTGACCAGACACTATTATTCAAGCAATCTTCAGAAAGAAATGGGCATACAGTTAAGAATCTCTAAGACCTTTGCCAAAAGCAGTGCACGTGCACAGGTGGAAAGTGAAACAAAGCTATATGGTGAGGGACAGAAGACTGTCAGTAGGGAGGTAGAAAAACTTAAATGTATAAAAGCCTTATCCCTCTAGCCATGTACAACATGCCTTGAACTGATGAATAGCAATGCATGACCTGATCAAAGGTAGGCAAGCAAAGAATGGTATATAATGGGGGGGAGGGGGGAAAAATCAATAGCATACCTGCCAAGGCCTATCCCAGTCCAATGGGAGCACCACACACCCTAACCATGCACCAAATATTGTATATTGTACAGTTCTCCTCTCCAAGTCTGCATCCTCTTTGTCTTCTCTGGAATCAAAGCATCCTTCATAACAGTGACACTCCTGATTGTCTTTCAAAAGCTGTGGGTTTGCAAAAACTCACAATTCCTTAGTGATGAATGAGAGAATTTCATGGAAATTTGGATCGCACACCAGAGCTGAATGAAGTACAGTAGCCACAGCCATTGAGAAGGAAAACTCTAGAGTTGCATGGAAATTTCTGCAATGGATGATGTTCAAGAGTCAGTCACCTTTTCTTCGAAAATACAGGATATCCTGTACAATGGTAGGGCCAGGATTAGACTCAAAGCACTTACTCTATTATGTAGGCTCCAAAAGTAATTGCAATGCAGTGCCAAGCAAGGATCCCTCCCAGAAAAGAAGCTATTATTTCAAGGAACAAAGATGTCTGAAAAAATAAAATAAAAGTTGATCATTCATTTCTTTATTGATGATGATTATGCCTATCTGGACAATATATATTGCACATCACAAAACATCTGACCCTTTTGTTTGATGTCTTGCTTCGAAAGCTGCCTGCTGATGGTTTATGTGGCTTTAACCAATGCAAAGCAAGGCACTGGATCATTGTCACACCAGTAAGTATCATCCAGAATAACCTATATTCTTCAGTCCAAATGATCCCAACTGTGAAAGACCAGCTCAAAAGAAATGCCACCCAATCCACAATAAGCTTCCTTTCAATAGCTTTCATTCTCAAGTTTCTCAGGGACAGGCCACACAATTTCAAAGAGCAGTCCAGCCTCCACTGATCAGGCAATTCAACATGGACAGGTCACAGGGATCATATTCCATCTTGTTGCAGACATGACCCAGTGCCATTCTTGGTCTACGATCAAGGAAATACATTAAAAATGATGCAAAACACCTTTGCTTTGAGTCTTCAAATAAATCCAGTTAAGACACATGACCACTAACCTAAGATGCAGAATAGACCTACAATATACTGACCAGATTTTTTCAGGAAAAACTAGAACATGAAAAAAAAACTTAGTCTTTGCAATGTGAAAAACCAGGACAGTTTCCAAACCAAGACTAGGTTAAATTTAATATAACCAAGTTGCAACCAAGGTGCCTAATCTACAGCATGCCAAAAAATTTGAGACAAATAAATATGCACTTTCTTACATCAAACATTTCGGCTCTAGGACCCCAGGAGGGAATTGTGCTCAGTAGAAACCTAATTTTATGAGTGGAAATAAAAGGGTGTGTGTGTGCCACCCTAGTGCGCCCCTAGAAAAGGTACGGATTAAGGTCAGCTTTCTTATGTTTTTATTTAAAATTTTTTTTTTTATTTTAAAAATATACTTCAACAACTTACATTTACAAAACCATCAGGAGAGTAGGCGGTGATACTTAGTATTCATTGTAAACAGCATGTATTCCCAATTACTGTATGTTACGAAGGAATACACGATTGCCATGGAAAATAAGGGTGCAGCTCGAAACGTGAGTCCAGTTTGGGATGGCCACTTCAAGTAAACCATGCCGCTCGAATGAAAGGATCATAACAAACGCGGTACCAGCGCTTAGCTGCATACACCCACGTGTCTCTTAGAAACGGCCATTCGTATCGTCCATTCTGCCATGATCAAAAGGAACGGCAACTCCATAAATGCTCTGGAACTGCTGACAATGCCTATTTTCTGTTCCCCGTAAAAATTCCTAATGTTTCTCTAACTTATACAAAATCAGATGCTTGCATTTCTTTGATTCAAGCTATTGTGGTGCTGGCCCAGTTAGGAGGAGGCATTCAACATCTGGCATCCCTGTTCACATCATGTCGGCACGTGTCAAAAGCGCGATATCTGTCGGACCGTCGTGATGGGAACCGTGGTGATAGGTTGACTTTGATCGATCTGCCTTATCGACCAACAACGGTGATAAAGGTCCTCCTTTCTGAACTTTATCCGGGACTAGACCTATGATTCACTGTCGGTTGACTCGCTCAGGACTTTAGCTGGCACAGTTTCGGTTTCTATTAGGCTAATTTATAAGGTTCAAGGTTTGGATTGTGGCGTCAAGAGGTATACCCGTCCATTGACATACCATGTCGAGGTGGAACGTTCATGTATCGTAAAATAGACCTACACCACCTAGATATAGATATTTTTTGTGGGAGCATAGCCACCTACTGCTTAGTCGCTCACAGCTAGGCTGGTCCCTGTTTTTTTTTATTTCACGTTCAAAGCGAAATGCACTTTCCGGAAGGGGAATTAGGTCAATAGATAACCTCATTTAAGGTTATCTATCGGCTATCTATATCTGTCTAACCACAATTCTTGGGCCAGGCATAATCCTCAATCAAGGTTTGTAAATCACAGGTGATGCAGCTCTCCAGACTTTCCTAATTTCTTCTGAGCTTCGAGTCGGGCCATAAGATCGCCTTTGTGTCTTGCACAGCCTGTTGGTTTGCCCTGAGTGCAGCATAGAGAATGGCTTATAAATCCTTAAATTCTTGGGTGAAAGTGAGTTCTCTTCAAATAATGGCTGGCATTATATATTTCTATTTTCTTGTCAGCCACTCTGTTTCATTAGCAATGAGCTATTAGAGATTTGTTGCATGTGCCAGTGACTGATTTCAAAAATGCAGTTCAGTTGCTGTTACATATCAGATTATGTCATGAGAGTAGCTGACATGAGCACTGGAATTTCAGGTAGAGCAAAGTTTGATTTGAAACTGCAACTGAATTGCAGTTCTAAAAGCAATCAGCTTGTCAATGAAGGTGATTCTTCTAACTAAACTGTGAAGTCAAATTTGGAGATTTGTCCATCACTATAGTTTATCATGTATGATTCCACATCATTATTTGTATAATTTTCAAGTTTGAGTATTTGTATGGAGTATCTAAATATATATATATACTCCTGTTTTTGTTCAATCCTGTTCCAATAACCATACTGCTTTTTCCAAGTCCAGATGGGCTTGGTCATGGAGAGAGAGAAGTGAATAGGCACAATTTCACATATTGATCAGTCCACATTCATAATAAAGGGCAACCTGATCCCTCTTGATTCCATGATTAATTAATTCAGAGCTTGTTTCAGTGCCCAGTTGCTAAGTTCCACCTGTTCCTTTAAGGTTTATAAAAGTATGCTAGCAGAAAAATGATATACAAACTCATAGAGATAATAAAGTACTTTTTTTTTGCCTTGCAGGTGTTATGAATCTTAGTTTCTTTGATAGCAGCAACTTGTAGGCCTCACAACCTACCAATATCACACTGATCTTCTTGTGCATCAAGATTTGAGTCATCATGTCTTCCACATCCCAAAAACATCGCAACTTCATCTCAGAGCCCATGGGTGAAAAGCTTGTGACTGATCTGGCAGGGATAGGAGAAGTTCTTGGGAAGCGACTGACTGGCAAAGGCTTTGATAAGGTTCATTCAACTTGTTCTCATATTTTCCATAATTATGGGACATGAGTTTCATTCCAGCACATGTGTAAAACTTCTCACTAAGATTTGAAGAAAAGGAAATGCCATTAAAATGCTTTTCCAACACCCTTCTTTATGGATGGAATGAAAAGCATGTTTTCTTGATTTCTTGTGCATTTAAAACTTCTGAGGAATGATATGATGTTCTGTTTTATCTCACAGGCCTATGTGGTACTGGGGCAATTTCTAGTTTTGAAGAAAAACCAGGAATTATTTGAGGAATGGCTCAAGGACACCAGTGGAGCAAATTCAAAGCAAGCACATGATTGCTATCAGTGTCTGTCTGATTGGTGTGAGCAATTCCTGTGAACTTTCATCAAACAGCTTGCATCACCTCTTGGATGTGTGATTTTTATTCCCACTCTTTAAATTCATTACATGGCAAGCAGAGGTCATTGGTGATGTGTCCCAATATGCTGTCAGTTTTGTTCTAGGCTGGCATTCCTCTATTTTATACTATCACTCATTGTCATAACTGGACCTTTAATATCTGAATAAAAGTGATTTCATTACTGCTGTCACTCTTGCTTGCTCTCATGACTTCAGTTTTAAACATCATGGTACATGGTGTTTGTCATGGTATGAATAGATTTGGACAGAATTTTGAAGGTATGGATGAAGGGTTTTTACAAACAAACAAGTGAAACTTCATGTGGAACTAATTACTGTAACTCTCACTGTAAGCTCCAACCCTGGCCAAATTGTTGCTGAAGGTGTAGCTGCTGTATCTATTCATACTTGCTATAGAAAGTCAAACAGTAATCTCAGCCCCCAAAAAAAACCTGGTTCAGAATGTATGTATCTTAAAGTGGAGTCAGTGTATGAGCAAGGCTCCAAATCCCTGAAGATTTCTTTTCCAAATTGTGATTCATATGTTTGAGAAGCCAAATATTTCCTCTACCTGTGCTGACAGCTTCTGTGAATGAGCTGCATGAAGTTCAATTCTATAGGACTTGCATGTAACCCTGGAACACAGAATGCAAATCTGGGGCATGGATACATATTATCTTCTGATTTTGCATTTAAGATGTTTGCACCTAAGTTGGTAGAATTTAAACACTCTCAATGTGTGGGTACAAGGTAAGAGGAAGCGATAAGGTGCAGTATGCAGCTAAGCTAGTGCTGCAATGCGTTTAGGGTTATTGTATGAATGAAGACATGCATTGTGCCTTGTGGAAAAAACTTGACTCAGCCTTTATTGTTATGTTTTAGTGTAGGTATCATTTGCCTTGTAACCTAGGTTGGTTCCTTTTACCTCATGAATTCTAAATTACCTCATGACAGTGCATTAATAAAAGGATGGATTTTTTTTAAATATTCTAACCTTATGCAAAAAGAGGCATTTGTGACTAGTCAGTTTTTAGGGCCATCTCAATGCAGCAATGACTGTCAATGGTTGTAGGTATCCATAGTGTTTTCTATCATCACAATACATTGAAAACATTTTCAAAAGCAGAAGTGTCCCATAGAGAGTGAAGGAAAATCTCTCCAGTTCCATTGCTTAATATTCTAAATTCCTGTCTTACCCTAAAATGAGTTATTTACACTCAGACATCGCTTGGATCTCCTGTGTCTCAAAACGTTGGTTTAAAAAAACAAAAAACAAAAAGGCAAATCCTGTTATGTCATCAAGGTATGGCTGGGGAAACTTTGATCTTGAAAAATCAAAGGTCAAGAGCCTTGGAAACACTTTCATTCCTAACTTGGTGAATTTCCAGACCATTGCACTGGATTTTCTTTATTATGGAAATTTTTTAATTGGGGAACAAAACAAGTCTCAGTGATAATCATTATCATCATTCAATAATATTATTTCGTGGAGCCAAGACACAGTGTGATGCATAAAACTTGGCACACTTCTAATTGACAATCATCTTTCATGGCTCAATTTGGTCATGGGGAGCTGAAGCTTGCTGGGGACTTTGATGCCAGGAGGAAAAATGCCTCAAGGGATTGTTGGAGAATTGCAGTGTATCCTGGGTGTGATGTACTGTGTCCAATACAATGATGAAACATTTATTTGGCTTTAAATTTAGATTGCTAAGCTTTGTTGTGCTAACAATGATATCCATGCACAGAAGGAATCACATGATTGATTTAAAATTATCAATAAATTCCTGCCTTTTCCCCTTTTTCCTGCTATTGCAGGAAACATTGGCTCAAGGTTCTGACAACGGAAAATGTATTGTCATTTACCCACCTGATGATCTATAAAGTGAATTACTTCAGAGAAAAAATTCAGTCATTGTCAAATCACACTGACACTTTAGTGCAAAGTGTTCACGTATACTTCAAGAAAACACACTGGTGAATAATTATTTATAGCTGCTGGCATCATCCAGAAAAGGAAACTATTTTTCTAGGATTCTTGATAGGCAAATTAATGTTATCAGCCGTTGATGATATGAAGTCATGGAATTACTCACCCACTTGAAAGCCTAGAATGTGAATAAACAAACAACAATTGGTGAAGTTGGTCTGTATGAGGCAGCCACCAGCAGGAATTGAATTGATTGGCATTTGAGAGCGAGCAAGAAGACACCCAAATGTAGGGTTCCCACCCATTCATAATTAGTATGGACAGTACATATTTCATGCGCTTCTGCATGTCGACAAGAAAATAGTCGACGGCAAAAATGTCGATAGGAGAAAAGATTGATCGAGTAAATGTCGAAAGGGACTTTTAACACTCATTAGGTGAAGCACTTGCAGTCATCCGATCATGGAAGCATGGGGAAGAGCATGATCATGATGACTGGAAGGTTTCTTTATCAGCTGTCCCCCTTGTGGTGACACTAACTTTGAAAGAGCGGTCGTGACACCTTAAGTAAAATTTCTCCCTCGCTGCCTTCTCCCTCTCTCGAAGAGATATCCGAGAAGGACTAGCATTTTCTTGCCTTTCTGAGATCCGACAAATGTCACATTTGAGTTCATTGCAGACCAAGGTCGGAGAAGGAGGGAATTGAGTGCCGAAGCCAGGTGATGCACATGGAAAGAATGCACACGTGACACATGGCACTTACATAGAAGCCCATGGAATGGCTTCATCGATGGATCCACAGTCTCATTTAAAAAATTAAATTACCAGCAAGGACATCGTCAAGTTGCTAGATAAGGCTTCGCGAGAGAGACAAAGCAGAGAAGGCAGTAGGCGAAAGCGACCTCATGACTTTCCAGTTCTATCCACAGTTCGAAGCGCTCCACCAGTCCCTTCATCGTGGAGGGAGCACATCGTTCAACTAAGTCATGTTTGCACACTCCCACAGGATGATCACTCTAGTAAAAATCACATCATTCGACAATCGACAGTTTTGGCATTTCCTCTTCGTCGATGTTTTAGAATTCTGGCTCCATTCCATTCGACATTAAGCATAATCGACATTTTATGACATCTATTGATACATTCTTGCCCTTCGACAATACTACCTTTCTGCGTTTCTGCTTTCGACATTCCGACGTACACCCATATTTCAGATGCAATGTCCATGCTGCAAACTGGTTCTAATATGGACAGTTTTGTACATATTTTGAACTTTTTATGATTAAAAAAAATTGAAATAAAGCTTGATAGCAGCTAATATTATTTTCCAAAAAGTCAAAAGCAGTAGGCCACAATTGGCGCCTTGGCTTAAGGTGCCTGTGGGTATATTTCGAATATTTTTTCATATTTTTTTAAAATTCAAAGGTGGCAACCCTACTCAAATCAACCAAGAAAGGATAAGAAATGCAAACCAAATTCACAAACTGACAAATAAAGGGTCGTCTTGTAACCTGTTCCCTTCCAGTTATAATGGCTATTAGTAATGAATAAATTAATCATATATCCTGAGGGGAGTCAGTGCTTTTCTCATGTAAATACGTGGGGGACACCTGGCCACCAATTCCTCAGACTCCTTTTTTTTTTGGCCTGCTGCATTGATATTCCTAAAACGATCAACGTGGCAGTCCCAGGTGGGACACATCCTGAATCCTCATCACTGCTTTCTAGGGCTGTACCTTTCCTGAGGTTGGACATCGGTCGATTCAGGCGTTTTCCATGAAATCGGCGAAACCGAGCTTTGGGCCAGCTGATTTTCCGATTTTATTATTATTATTATTTTTGTGCGCCAACCCGCATCGCATCTATTATCCCTACTTCGATTTCCAGGCATTTTTTTTTTAGCAGGCTGACAAGACATTGGCAAATGCGATCTGCATTTACTCCGGAAACTTGAAAGCACGCAGCCAGAAGCGAGGTGGGGCGCAACTTGTTCCTGCTAAATGGCAGCGGACTAAGGAGCACGTGCGAGAGGTTGCTACATTCCCATTGGATCATCATATGTAAGAAGCCCTTGCTGTTTAATTTTTCTAAAACGCTGAAATAGGCCTGCTTCCATTAATTTTGCAGGGGTTTAACGTTAATGTTGCGCTTAGGCCTCTAGATTCAGCCTTCGCTTGTGCGGCATGAAGGACCTACGTTGAAAGTTGGTTGCGCAGTTCGTGATGCGTACTCCTCACGGTCTATCCTAGATCTTTATTTTCATGTCTTTTTTCGGTTGTAGTCATGTGGAATGCTAAAGCAGTAATATTACATAGATTCAAACTAATGCCTCAAACCTGGTGATACAAATCTCTTCCGTACAAAACATTACTTTTGTAAAAAAATTTAAAAAAAATACAGATATATATGGCTAATTTGCCTGTGGTATTGAGCTCTACTTCTTGTGATTTTGGGAAAAATCATGATTTTAATAAAAGAAAAGGTCACTGTAGAGGTTTCTCACTTCATGCTCAAAGTAGAACTGATGCACCTAATTCAAGTTACTTTCATCTTGATTGCATTATCTCTGTGAAAAAGACCTATCCCATAGACACGCATAAATATCGATATCAGTATCGGTCACCTTTCAAGAACAGATATCGGGAATTGGCACGTTGGACAAATTTTTGCATCAGTACATCCCTATTGATTTCTTATATTAACTGGAATTCAATGATTCAATCAATGATCTGTGATTTGGAGTCAATTTGTAAGGAGTAATTTAGAATTGCCTTGGAAATTTCCTCCATACAGGACATCAACTGCACAAGCATGACAAGGCAATTGAAAAGGATTGCAACATGGTGAAGATGCTGAGCAAATTTCACAAACACTCATCAAGATTTGTATTCACAAATAAAACTCACAAGAAAATTTTTGTAATACTTTGTACTACAATATTTTTTACTCCCTAAAAATACATATAGGATTGACAATGAAATACATACCGGTATTTGGTTTCTCAAGTTTCATGCATGGGAAGGAGACATGTTGAGCAAAAACTTTCTACCCCAGTCAGCCCAGAACATGAACTACAGAATAATTTCTTAAATTTGAAAGACCATGTTCAAAAATAGGATTCAAATAGAAAAATCCAGACTCTTGTTTCAAAGCTAAACTGTGAGAATGTGGGCTTATATTTTCACTGTACGATCCTCTTGCCTACAGTTTCAAAGGATCATGAAAAAGCTAAAGAATTTCAACATGAAAAATACACACAAAACACCTTATTGAAAACCTAAACTTCAGCTTTCCTAAGGCACTACAAATCAGGCCCAAGAAAAAACGAGATTTCTTTCTGTGTGATTTGCCATGCATTATGGAGTTCATGAGATTCTTCCATGGCATTATGTTGAATCTCCCTCACCAATTGTACCTCTGCATTTTTTTTTCTGGGGGGGGGGGGGAAGGAACTTTACAACAATCTCACTTTTCAGAAATCACCGGATATGCATAATTTATAAACAAGTATTCCAAAAATATCCTACCACCAAACTCAAAGCAGGAAACAGACAGCAACCAAAGTGCAGAGAAAAATACCAATATAAGTTTCTAAATTAAGTCAATGTTCTAACAAATATCCCATGAGAATTTTGCATGCCAATTGCAAACATGGTTAAGATCAAATGGGCATGATGCAGCAGCAATGAGCAGTGATGTCTGAGAATGCCAGCATGCAAGGCATAAATTCTTCTGATATTTCATAAGAGTAGATTGTGATTGTCCACTGAGCATCATGTTGAATTGGTGTGGACATGCATTTGTATTGTCCTCTGTTCTGTCTTTGTTAAGACAACAATCCAATCACTCAAGGTTAGAGAAAATGTTTGCCTACTCTGTTTAGCTGGCAAAGAATGTACACAAATTGCAAAAGGTCCCAAAGTGAAATGTCAAAATATGCTTTCAAGGGGAACAAAGTGCAAATGCAATTCTTATCTTTAAGTGTAAAAGACAAGTAAATTGAAGAGGAAGACAAATCATGCTCAGATTGTGGAATTCTTGATTTCAGGGAAGACCTAAATGAGAAATTAGTGAAAATTGTGACTATTATCAAACTCTTTTCATACATGAAACTGCTTGAAAGCAGTTTTCCAGAGGGGGGCAGTATGAAAATCCCAGAGAGAATGCCTTCCACATGAAAATTTCATAACTTCTTCACTGATATTTCAAACAGAGATATGAAATCACTCCCATGGTCTGAACCTGCATTCACCTGGTAATTAAGATACCTGAGTAGACCCTGAATCTGAACTTGGGTACACTGTATTGTACTTTAACCCACCCAGAAAAATGCCACTGCCCTTGTTCCATCAACAGTAATGAAACAGGGAAAAAATTGCCTTCCCAAGTGTAGACTTAAGTGTCTTCAGATTGACTTTCCACACCCCTAAAATGGACCTAGCACTGCAAGCAAATCAAACCATGGACATCAGCTGAACATATCTGAAAGTATAGCATAGAGACATGCATTGCTCAGAGCATTGCAAGATATATCTACAATATAATGAAGGAAAAATCAGTTCTGCAATCTGCCAGTCAGGCTACGGAAAACTATGGACATGATGTTTTAAGGTGTAGAATGTCGATCAGACAACAATTTAGAGAACAGTTCAGCAGACATTGAGCCTAGATTCTAACATCACATATTGCAAAAGTTTGCAAGCTATGGGAGAGATTTCTAACCTCAGCAATAAAAGAAAGCATGAAAAATCCATGTGAAACAAATTATGTGTAGAACTTTAGTATGATGTAAACTCTACAGCACCACTAACATCCCAGTCTTACCATGAGCAAAGCATGTTCTGTCAACAGCCAACTGTTCTTGCTGCACAAGAGTGGCATGAAGGAGAAAAGCTCATTGATCACTGGATGATGACAAGTGCATGCATTAAGCAACCAAAACAACTCATCAGAGGACAGCAAATGAATGAATAATTGTACATGAAATACACTCAACTAACACTTTATAAACCGGGTTTGAGTTTGAAAAAAAAAAAGCATGCTTGCAAAATCACACAGCACAATCCTCCAAAGGGAATCTGATAAACTTGAGATACTCTGAAATATTATACCAGTACCTTGACGATGATGCTATCTGGGAACAAAAAACTATTGGCAAAACTTCTGATCCTGTGAATTCTGGTCTACATGAGTTTTAGGTGAGGACATCAAACACATAAGCAGAACTGACCACAATTGAAGAAACAAAATAACCAAATGTGAATGAAAGAAGCTATCACAAGGGCAATACTCATTAAAAAAATAATGCATAACATTATGTGGATTCTATATATTATAGATGGAAAAGATGAAAAAATAAATGGATGTCCTCAAGAGCATTCACCAGCAGACATTAAGGTTGAGTTCATGGGTGAGGAATCAGTGGAGGAGGGCTGAGGGACATTCTGCACAACAACATCAGCGGAATACTTCAACACATCTTCTTTCGTAGAAGTAGTGGTGAGCTTGAATTCTTTTTCATTGACACTGAATGAATAGTTTTTGTACTCTATATCCTCACCCCCTGCAAACCTGATGCCAGACCTGCTTTTATTCTCATCAGTGGTAAAACCAATTGACACCTTCTCAGGTTGTGGCAAGGGACGAGGCTCTTCAACTCTGGAGACGCGGAACCGAGACATCTTTGGAGTTGGGACAGATGAGGAAAGGGGAGTGCAATTTGGGAGATCTGACTCGGTCACTCGTGTCACTCGGAATCGATTCATGCGAGTCGGTACAGTGAGGTGATGAGAGTCAATAGGGGTAGAGATCACTTCCTCTGATAAAGTTTCTACCTTCAGCTGAGTCACATCTGTATCTGACAGGCTGTGGAAGAGTGGAGGTACCCCATCAATCTGTGTCACTTTCAACAGTGAGTTTGAGCTGTCAGCCACGTTGAAGACCTGGAAGCGACCGGTGCGGAAGGGGATTGCCGAGTTGATGGGACTGGACATTGGAGAGGGCTCAGGACTGACCAGCTTCCTCTTCTCATTTTCTTCTTCTTCAGTATGTGTTGGTAGATCAGAAGAGGAGGCAGCAGGAGGGCTAAGCGTATCACAGGTGAGGGATATCTTACGCAGGAAGGGGGGTCGAATCGGCTGTGAGCTCAACACAGGTGAAATGTCTTCACTCAGAAGGCTTGGGTCCTCAACTTTCTCTTTGCTGCCTTCTTCTTCCTCAGAATGTTCAGGAACAGGAAACAGCTTTGGCCTTCTGTTTCTCTCACAATACTGCTTCACTTCTTTTACACATTCCACATACTTTTCTTTCATCTCACTCACCTGTAAAGAACAACAAACCAATGAGCCAGACCAACTAATGGAATTATAAAGTAAGGCCTGTAACTCTCTGGGGACTCACTGGTTCCTTTTTTGGTTCCTCATCCAGATCCAGCTGGGTGAGGGTATAATTCATGTTGAGAGAAAGCTTCAATGCAATCAGCCCAGCCACCTTCAGACCGTTGTCTCTCAAATCAACCCTCTAGGACAATAAGAAGTTATGTATCACAAGCATAATTTTTGTTTCAGTGAATCAAGTAAATCAAGTCTTGAAAGTGAATCAAGCCTCTACAAAGACATAGTTCCAGATGTGGAGATGATTCCTTACCTCAAGTATTTTGTTCTCAGCTATTATTTCTGCAATGGCAACAGCACCTTCACAAGACACTTTGGTCCCTTGAAGTCCGAGCTGACGAAGACATCGAGACTGCATGAGTGCTTGCTTCATGCGTAAGACACCTTCATTTGTCAAAGGGTTGTGACCAACATTTAGGGTTTCCAGTGTCTTGCAATGCTCCTATGAAAAGTTTTGGTATTAGCTCCAAAAATAGTGTTAATATCTGTAAAAAAGATGGAGACCAACCAACTTTCAATGCCTTACCAGGGCTCTGTGGAAATGATTGCCTGAGTTAAAAGTGAGATGATTATTCCATAATATAAGTGTGTTGAGTCCTCTCAGCCCTAGCTGACAAGGGTCACTCTGCAGCAGAATTGAGTCACCTTGCTTACAGAGTCCATCACATAAATGCCCCACTCCTGGGTCCTGCAATTCGTTGTTCCTGAAAAGTAAGATATACGAAAAGTCAGATATGACCCAAAAATTCTAAATTGACAGAATGTGCTCATCTGAAACATTAATGATAGACATTTCAATACAATACAGAAATCATCTCAATGCACAACCATATTCATGAACCCTAGGTTTCTTAGGCCGTTTTTGAAAAGCCAACTATTAGACTATGAAGACAAAAATCAGTCCCAGAAATGACACTGTCAGACTGTTCTCCTGTAGCACATCCATGAAAAAGGTAAGGCTTATGGAGGGTGCTCTATAAATTGCACTTTGCCCAACTGTGAGCTCTATTTCTGTACTTCAACAGTCATTTGCTATTTTATAAATCACAATATATAAATCAGTGACTTAGTTTTACTAAGTAGCAGTTCATGGTACTGGGGTGAACACTGTGCTAAAGGTACAAACTACATTCCTTGAGCCTAAGTTCAATCACAATTAAATTCAGTTCTTTTCTGGTTCTGCAAAACAAATTAGACAACAAAAAAGCCAGGGCTCTGTTGAAATAAAAAACTTTTGTTTGCACAAAAAAGAAAAATTGAAGCAGTTTAAGGCATAGTCATACCCATTTCATTTCATCACTCACTGGTGAAGGAAATGTGAACTTGAAAAATGAATGAACTTCTGGCTACTATTAAAAGGTCTGGATTCTTTAGTTTGAAAACTATCCTGTTTTGTCAAGTACTTGGTTCAGCTTTGCATTTCTGGTCTTTTCCCTTGATGTGCATTAGTTTAATTGAAAATTGGCTCTGTACTGTTCAGTTTGGCTCACAAACCATTCATGCTATGGATCTTGTTGGTAAGAGCAGTCACTATAAAAAGACAGTCTGAAAGTATTGCACTTTGTCAAGGTGTCAACTCTCACCTGAGATCTAGGAGTTGCAGAGTGATATTAGCACGCAGGAGATTCCCTAGCTGAACAGCATCTGTGGGGCTGAGACCATTGTTTGCCAGGTACAGCTCTTGAATGCTTTTGTTCATCTGCAGACTGGTTGCTACAGTGAAAGGCATCCAAACCAATGTCAAATATTAGGTTGTGAGTAGAGGAAAAACTGAAATGGCACAAGAAGTACTGGGGTAGTCAAAAGTTTGACCATCCTATAGGTCATATAAAAAGATCACCCCTGCATTTTCTAAATTGACTCCCTAAAAGTTTCATAGGTTTACAGTAATGGAGAACAACTTCAAGGAGAACATTATAACAGCAGAGATGAAATTAATGCAGTAGTGGGAATGGCATTGTGGGGCATGAAGAAAAATGGGCTCTATGAAAGACTGAAAAACATAATAGATTGCTGGGCCAAGTGCAACCAATATAAGCCCAATTACTTTAAGCAAATAGACAATTATATGGACAAAAAAGTGAGACTTTCTTTCAACATACCTGACAGGGATACAGAACCTTTTACCACTCTTTGCTGAAGGAAGCCATTGCCATTAGGCCTGAATTGAATAAATTATGAAAAAAAACTTCTTCCATAATCATCATGACAAACTAGACGAGACCAAGATCTTCAGTGCCTGTCCATTCTCATAGTGAAAGCAAAGGAAACAAAGCAAACACAAAGCCTCAGATTTTAGAATAGTGTGCCCACTCACCAAGGATGATAAGAGACCTCCCCTTGATATGGCAGCCTTCCATGTGGAGGCTCCGGAGAGTGCATTCATATCGCAGCGCTTTTGTGAGGAATAGCAAGTTGCTGTCAGCAAAGCTGCAACCTCGTAGATCTAGCCTTTCCAAGCAGGGACTCTGAAGTGAAGGATAAGCAGAGCAGCAAATGAAGAATTCAAACTGGCTTGCTTGCAAATTACATGCTTGAGAGAACTATGCTCATTCATGTGCAGAAAGACAATTTTCACTGACCTTTTTGACAAATTTGGCGCAGGATTTCCAGCCACGAGGACCGAAGTCCTTACTGGAGCCCACAGAAACTTCTATAGCTGAGTCATAGAATTCCAGCATGTCAAAGAGTGCAACAGCTTCCTGAAGACAGCCAGAAAGTCATCATGAAGAAAACAGGAAAAATCATGAATTATATCAGGCAGGGAGACATACATCTTCTTCAAGTGATGCAGATTCCAAATCGATTCGGTTAAACTGTAGCCGTCGAAAAATTTCTTCAAGGGCTTCACACTGTTTGAAATCAAGGACCTCACCACTCAGATCAAGCTTCTCTATTCTACTCTCGTCGGAATCGTGAACTTCCAGCTGGAAATAATCATGAAACAGCAAGAAGAAACCAGATTCAAGAACACTACATATACACTCTGTCCCAAAATTGTTTAGACATTTTTCAATTTGAAGCCTCAAACACAATTGGTTCAGAATATCACTGTGTGCTTTTGAGGGTAGACTGACATCAAATGAGCATATACATGCAAATTTATGTCACAATCCATTGATTCATTTTGGAGATGCAGCAGCTTATTCTAAGTGAGTTTGCAGTGAACCATTGCTGCCAGCTGCTGTTGGCACTAGCATAGCCAGCCAGCCAGAGATGGAACTTACCATTCCCCCTTCGCAGGAGAATGTGAATCATGCAGTGTTTGTATTTCAACCAATGTCAAATGCCTGTTCATAGAATGACAGCAAGCACTTCAAGCACTACATCAGAGTGTCAAACAGGTAAGATTAAGGCAGTTATCTTGATCATGCACACCATGTCAGCCATCCTGTATGAGGCAAAAGATTGAATTTTGATACATGCACCCATACAGTTCTGGTGACACTCCCTTACTGTTGTCACGCTCTGAATTACCTCCTGTATTTCAAGAACTAGTGAATGGATATTGCTTATAACATTGCATGCATATGCTCATTATATATATTGGTCAGCTCACAAAGTTGCACAGCAATAGCCTGAACCAATTACAAGTGGCTAAAAATTAAAAAAAGGTTCCAAATTATTTTGCGACAGAATACACTGACCAAGGTCATATTCTACTGCATGCTAAGAAAACTCACTTTCAGTTGACTTGCCAACTTGGAAATTGGCTTTGCACCTTGTTGAGCACATGCTTGGCAATAGCGTTCTGAAGCTTCTGACCCTGTACTCCTGACAGCACCTTGCCATGGATTCAGTGGTTCTACATATTTAGTTACCAACTCAGAATCTGATGGAAATGAAACTCTTCTACAGGATTTCTTGTTTTTCAGGAATGCACTGTGATTAGGGCACATTTTTGCAAATTCTTTTGGTGATGGGCAGCTCGGTGGGCAAGGCAAGTTGGCAATTTCTTCATAATGGAAATCAGCAGGGCCACCACACTGAGTGCTGCCTTCACCAGCATCACGACTTCCTGCAGTAATTTTCACAGGACAGCTTTGATGGGGTCCTGAATGTGTTTCAGATGTTTCCACATCCATCTGAGCAATTTCTGCCTCACCAGTTCCTGTTGCTTCTGATTCTGCTGGAGGATACTCAGCCCTGTCTGCAAGTGATACCTCCATTCCTATCTCAGATGTTTTTGCCCTGTCTTTTCCTTGAGCTTTCACAAAAGTTTTACAGGCCTTTAGCTCTGTTCCTCCTGAGCATTCTGAAGAATCTAACGAAACCCCTAGTTCTAGTCCAAAATCTTCTACTATTGTCTGAGACACCTGTAACTCTACTTGTGACACTCCAACAACTGCCTGGTCATTTTCAACATGTTTTCTCTCATCCTCAAAGTCAGAGTGCATCTCCTCAGTCGCTGAGAAGGAAGAGTACATTGGAAAACTTTCCTCCCCAGTCTCACTATCACAATTCATATTTTCTTCAAATGACTTCCTTTCTTCACTGAGAGCCTTGCCTTGACTTACACATGCAGAATCATCTCCAAGAGGTGGCTCATCATTCATCTCTCCACTCTCCTCAAGATAGGACCTTTCAGATGAAGCAAGGTGCCATTTGTAGATATCCTCATTTCGACTGAAATGCTCTTCATTTCCATGTGAAGATGTTGCTGCCATTTCAAATGGCATGAGGATTATACATTTGGGATTGTGGCATAAGCTCAGGCTTTCACCTAAAAGAATAAGAACATTAGAGTTACATTCCCTAACATTAAGAGTTAACTTCACAGCAGACCTAGCTGTAAGCCTAGAGTAATCAAATCTCATTCCCTCAGTATCAACGACATACACCAAAAAGCAACTTTGATTCAACAGTCCCTCTAGAAATAAAATGCAATTCATGTCTCAATGTGTATAAGTAATTAAGGACAATCCTCGGAATCCTCTGGCTCATCTCATATAGCCCCAGGTGGGATTCACTTACACTAAATCATGTCACTCCCTTTTCTTAATATCACAATAATACTCAATATAATCCTTTTGTAAATAATAAAAACATCTTCATTTTTGTAAATTTTAGGTCTCCTCGCATTTTCTGCTTTTAACTTACCCATGTTTGCAAAAATTTGTGAATATTTTTGCAAAATAGGATTGATGGTTGGTAGTACACCAATTCTATTGTCTGTTAGGACAGGTAAATACCAATTTTTAACTGGTGGGACATGGTATGCAGTTACCTGGTGTTGCAAAAGTCATCAAGAGGGTCAAATGAAAGGACCTAAACCTATTACCATGTTTTCCTGATGTGGTTTACATGGATGTCCCTTTTCAGAAATTTGTTACTACATTGTACACTGTTGCATGCAAGTTCCAATACATCAGAAATTACTTTCATCTGTCACATTGTAGCCATCCTGCTTTCTTCCTTATAAGAGTAAATGAATAAATAAATGAACGAAGTAATGTTTCAATTTATAGATCAACATCTTGTGGAGACCTGCTTTCTCCTGAAGTCTTTCTCATATTAAGTTGGGATATCTTGGATACATCCAACGTGAGGATAGGGAAAAATAAGATGGTGCTGAATGTAGAATCAATTTACAAAAAAGGGGAAAGACTAAGAAGGGATTCATATTAATACTTGATTAACATGCTAATCCTCACACTTCCTGATAGGTGTCTACCCAAAGATGGGGGCACATGGCAAAGCAGACACAAGACTAAGGCCCAAATGCAGAAACCTGATTTAGGCAAGACAAAGAGGCCTTCAAGCTAGCTCTTTTTGCACCATGGGATTCCATGTGTTCTCAAAGGACCATTAACTATAGGAGGTTTCAGCATTCAGCACTTTGTGAGTATGGCAGCATTAGGGTGTAGGCATGACATATAATAGTTCAGCCCCTGCTTCTCTGCTTCCCACCTTCATGCTCTCCTAGGCCTATGATAGGACCAAGTTTTTGTTATCCGAGTCCACTGCCCAAAGGAGAAGGAAGTTACCACAACTTCGTGACGCTAAGAAATGTTCAACAAAAAGAATTCATGCTTTTTTTCAACATCAGAAATGACAAATGACCTTATCAAAAATTGGTTACTTAGACCTACTTTTTTCATTCTGACAACCAGATGGTGAAAGGAGAAAATTCTGAGTGACAAGACTGTTCTAAGTCATACACCCAACCACAACAGTATTATAGAATGGGATCCATATGGAAACAGAGGAACCAAAGTAGCATTACTAAATAAGAATCAAACAGGCACCACCAACCAGCCAATTTATTTGTAATAATGTAAGACAACATCTTCATCACACAAAGTCCTCTTCTTCTGCTTGATCTAGAATTGGAAGAGAAGGGAGAAAATAATATAACATCACATATCACAAAACAAAATGGAAAAAAAAGAGGAGACAGCTAAAAATGAAGTTTAATCAGTTTAAAAAGGTGAAAAGATAAATAGAAATAAAAATGAAGTACATGATACAAGAGAAGGATTAAATGAAGAAAAAGATGTGATAAAAATGATGTCATTTCTATTGAACAAAACACACATGCCAACAAAAAAATACATGACATGGAGCATTAGAAAGCAATGAAAGGTAAGGAGGGGAGAGAAGGAGGAAGAAAACAAGAAACCAGGACATATTTAGGAGTTGACAATGGGTTTCAGTTCGTCAATCCAACATTTTTTGCATCACAAGTCAAGGGGCTATACATATTCTATAACTGTGTTTTCACTTGAGTTAGGCATTTTTTCCTTTGACTCAGACACATGCATGGAATGTTCCTCATGCATGAGTGTCCATGTCAAGTGAAAAAATGTCTGACTCAAGTGAAGAACTCTGTAGGAAAACCATAATGGGAGTAACTGTTGGAGCAGTTCATGCCTATGGGTTGATTGTACTTCAATCAGGTAATACATGTGATATAAGCAACAGAGGGCTTTGCATCCCAAAATTTTCGCTTTTCTAATTACAAATATGACAGGTTGGAAATGCCTATATGACACAGCTTATGAAGATTCACTTGGTCCATGAAATCACCAAAAATGGATTTAATAATGTTTGCCTCAGAGTACTCATTAGGAATGGACAAGCTCTAAGCGTGGATGGATCTTCAAGGCGGCTCAAACCGACCTAGTTACCGTCACTGATAGTAATACTTAAATGAACAAAGGAATTTCCCTATAAGTATACTGAAAAGTGAAGCCATAGCAATACGTGAGAGAGACAGCACTTTTAGGCCTAGGCTGATGGGTAGAATAGCCCAGAAGCGAGAAATGAATTCGCGTACGAACACCTGCACTATAAAATATGAGGTCTGTAACATCAACTTTCACCGTCATCAAATAAAGGGGGGAAAAAAAAGGCGGAAACCTCTGAGGCTGACGATAACAACGGAAAACTGCTCCATCAAGAAAAAAAAAAAAAGAACTTAAAAAAAAAACCCTGAACAAATAATTCGCCGTTTCCGGACGGACCAACGCCAGGCCTAAACCCGACGGCCTCGGCCAGGCCTCCAGGAACGAAACCCCCTTAGCCACGAACGCGAACGGAAGCCAGCGGATAGAACCGCAAAGGAGCCATATCGGCAGCTGAGCGTAGAATCGGGTTGCACTGTCGATACTGCACACGTGAAATTGTGCATTGGGTTAAGCAGGGGATGGCTAAATTTGGTTCACCTTTAGGAGGAAGGGTTTTGACGGATTAATTTTTTCCTAAACCCTTATAATTACGATGAGATGCCTTTTTCCCGCGGAATTTAGTCGCGAGAAGGAGATATAGCATTCACCCGGAGAGGAAAAGAATTCGAAAATTCCCGAAGATGGCTTTATCCCGTGGTGACCATGTGATTCCCCGTTGCCGTTCAGAGGTTGCCGTTCCCCGTCACACTGATCTCGCGATTCGCCTTTCAACTCCTATTAATCTGCTCATGTAGGCCTAGTTCCTCTGGTCCTTAGCTCTCAGAGAAACATTCGATGACTTTCGATCCGAAAAAGTAACAGCTTCGGTTTGATCGGAATTGAACCGAGTGATTCCGATGACAAGAGAGTTGAACTCATGAAACTCCATGAAGAATTGCGGGTTAAGCTTCAAGACGTTCCGGAAGAAATCGTATCCATAACCGTAAGAAATCGTTCCAGAAGTTATGTCCAGGTTGGTCATTACGTTTCTACTGCGAGTCTACAGTAGTTCTCGTGACGTTTCACCGGTTTCATTATCTCTCGAACGTTTCTGATGAGCCTATTCTGCCTGGGACATTGATTGTAGGCCTATAGAGTGTTTCAAGTCGAGTCCTAAACATCTTGAGTGTGGAGGAAACAATCCAAAAAGCCTGTTTTATATTTAATGCCTCATTCTAAATGGGCTTAGTGTTATGAGAGAAAATGTAACATTATGCATTGTTCCTTTCAACACCACGATGTCAGCAAGAGTAGACATCGCCATCTGGTCTTGCGTATGGTCAAAGTTGCCAAAAGGCAAAATACAAGCTCAAGCCAAGGCCTGGCTTCTAATTCTTTATTACTAGTCTATGAATGCAATTTAAAAAATTTTTTATTTATTATTCACAAAGTATTTAAGCGTTACTTTTGTGCCTAATCTCTATAGATTGGTTCAAGTATTGAGTTCAGTAGACAATACACCAACTTCTCAGGGCAAGGTTATGCTCCTTTAGGAATTGGAATTAACACAAAGAAAAAACATAATCATAACTTTTTTCAGTCATTGCCAGGTATATGTCTATTTGTGTTATGAAGCTTTAAAGAAGCTTATGAGAAATCAAACAAAAAGATGGCTGTTTGCAGGATGAAAAAAGTTCCCACCAAACCTCTGCCTTTCAAACCAATTGTGGCAAAAAAGTTGAAATCAGATTATGCAATGCATGAGACATTCAAAGGAGCTCCCAGTCCACACCCATTAACTCTCTCTTGAGAGAAAGGGGAGTTCTTTATCCTTTCTATCAACACTACCATAGCCTAGTAATTGCTTTGTGCCCAAGGGCTGATATTGACATGCAAATAGTATAATAATAAAATTTTGCATGGAGACACTCATGGGGGAAGAATAATGTGACTTTAGATTGTATGACAGAAAATTGATTTTTCGTTATTTTACTAATTTATATTCTCCCTTGTGAGACATCCCCACAGCAGACTGTGTTTCTTATCGCCATCTCCCCATACAAAATAGCCTGCAGTCAAAAGAAAACTTGTTGGACTTAAAATGCTGGCTCACCTGTGCCAAACTGAGTTAAAACAACACTTGATTAGGACATGACATTAGGACTAGCTATCTGAAATTCAATTGATGCATGCAGGCTTAGTCACTATTTCACTTTTTTTTTTAAGGTAATTTGGTCCTTAACTGCTAAAAATTGCCATACTTTATCACATATCCATCCATTCGATGTTAATCTCCCGGCATATAGTTATGCCAACTGGTGTTGTTCTGTAGAATGCATCCCAGATTGATCCTACGGCTATGATTTCAATGGCAATGCATTCTATCGCAATTATCCATGTCTGCAAGTTGGTCCAAATGACCCTGCAGATGAACATGATTAGGCATGCTGCCACTCTGGAATGGAAGAATTTCCCCTGGGGCCTCAGCATTCAGTGGAGCAGACTTCCCCTCTCCCCCCCCCCCCCCCTTCCTCCCCCATCAGGGTGGAGTTACTGGGTGCGGGGATTAACCAGTCCTGAAGTCTAGTTCATACCATGTTATAGGTTCGCGGAGAGGCGCAGCAATCTCGTTGAGAATAAAATTAATGGGGCTCCTCGAGGGATGCATGCAGCTCTGGAATGATTTTTTTTGTTCACCCCCCGCGAAGTTACGGCCGCTGTCAGGATTCTTTCCAGTCTCTGTCAAGGTGGAAAAAAAAGATCATTCGCTCATGAAGTAGTTAATGCGTGTCACTCGGTAACCCGGCGAAAAGGCCCGGTTGCACAGTCCCACATCAACTGCACCAACCGATAACGCCAAATCTCGAGGTTACACTCAATAATCACTGCATGAACCAAACACATACGACACCGTAATCGAAGTGGTTCTCGGCGCCAGCCCGATTTTCGTCTCCCTCCATACCGCCCCCGACATACGGCCAGGAGATGAAGCCATGCATCAACATCAAGATGTCCCCTTATCAATCCCCCAATTAAAAGTTATCGGCGATCAGCACGAGGGCACAAGAAGGACACGGCGCCTCGCTTCCTTTCTACGAAGGAGGGATGACATCCCATGGAGGCCACGCCATCCACGTGCAGCCGCACGAGCTGCAGGTGGCAGGTCTTTCTTTTGGCATTTCACTCTGATCCGCCCAGAATTGCTAAACTCGCCGAACCGGGAATAATCCCGGATTCCACATGGAAAAAAACGAGGGGGATAATTGATGGGATCGGTGTTCATCCTTGTAAGGGCCCTTGTAAGGTCCCTTGAATGACAGGCCATTGTGTTTGCCTATATTTATTTATATATTTTTTTTATTCTCCATTTTATTGATGTCTGCAGTACTAAATTCCTGCGTCCCTTCATCGAGGAACGAGAGATGGCCGTGATTCAGGGTGCATGCTTGTCGAGGTTTTATAACTAATATGGTTCTTATCGACCTATATATATATTTTTTGTCAGTTATTGACAATTTCCGCTAGAATTCAGTAAAGTATTTTGAAAATTGCTGGGTTTTTTTGTTTTGTTTTGTTTTTTTTAATTTTGAAAATTGCGTTGACCGACCCATCTCATCCCCGGAAATTGTAGTAATTATTTCAGTCATTTACTCGCATCAGTTCATCTCCCCGTCCAGCGACCGGAACGCGGGCTAGTTGTATGGTTTCCCGCGTTTCTGCTCGCTCGCATCGCCTCTCGGCACTTGTGGGGATTCGTGACGTCTCCCCGAATTGCGCCGTGTGTACCACCTCGTTCCCGTAACCTTGGGATTTGAATTCATCCGTCACGGACACGGCGATTATGGTATCTTCTGCGTAGTTGCTATTTGTGCCGGATGGCCATAAAAAAGAGATGAAAAAACTACGATGTTGGTTGACAGGGAGATAGCACCGCCCTCTCTCCGCCTTCCCCTCACCTTCCCCCCACCTTCCCCCCCCCCCCTTCAAAAGACGGAGTATGATCGTGCACCACCTGTCAGAAAATGAGACGGAGTTTGTTCAAAATAATCATAAAAAAGTCTCCGGGCAAAAGCAACGTTCACGGACGACTAAAATTGTCAGGCAGTTTCCTGAAAACATCAGCAAGTAACTGCCTGAAAATGTGAGGTGTCCGAGCAGCCCGAGATCGTGAAGCATTTTACCTGCGAATCTGCGTGCGTGAATGCGGATCGTGCATCATCTCAATCAGCCGATGAACGTAGAAATAATATAGGTATAAAATAGAAACGATTTCTGATGAACGGTCATTTTCATTCTGTTCGAGGCAAGTTGCTAGAAAAACTTTTTGCCATTTAATATTTTTACCATTATAAAAGACACAAAAGGACTCTAACTTGATAGATGTCCTTTGAGGCGGAGGAGAGGAGCGCTGGCTTGTTTCTGCGTTTTACTTTAGTTTCTCTCGACTTGTTCATGTGCCGAATGTTGACCTTTACAGGTTTGAGGAGCGCAAAGGTCCTAAAGGAGCAAAAAAAAATGTGGCGAATCGTGCAGAGGAAGTGCGTGACGAACGTGATTTCTCTCGTCCAGAATCACGTCCGAACGTTCCCGGTCCGAGCGCTCCCCGTCCGCTCGACGACGGCGCGGCTGCGAGGACGGGCGGTCGTGACGTCCCTCGCGAGGTTCTCGAGCACGGCCGCTCGGGAGCAGAGCAGCCAGGACGACGAATCCGGGTTTCACAGCATCATCGGGGACGGGGAGAAGCCGACGGGGCAGGGGACGCGCATGGAGTTCCAGGCGGAGACTCGGATGCTCCTGGACATCGTGGCGAAGTCCCTCTACTCCGAGAAGGAAGTCTTCATCAGGGAACTCATCTCGAACAGCAGCGACGCCCTCGAGAAGGTCCGGTACTTCAACCTGACGGGGAAGAGCCTGGAGAGCCCCGACCGGGCGCTGGAGATCCACATCGGGACGGACAAGGTGGCGAAGACCTTGACCGTTCAGGACACGGGGGTGGGGATGACGAGGGAGGAGCTCGTGGACAACCTGGGCACCATCGCCCGGTCGGGGTCCAAGGCGTTCCTGGAGGAACTCAAGAAGGGGAGCGTGGACCCGGGCACCATCATCGGGCAGTTCGGGGTCGGATTCTACTCCACGTTCATGATCGCGGAGAAGGTGGAGGTGTACACGAGGGCCTCGGGGTCGCCCGGGTACCTCTGGACGTCGGATGGGACGGGGACGTACGAGGTCGGGGAGGCGGAGAACGTGCAGTTGGGGACGAAGATCGTCGCTCGTCTCAAGCCCGACTCGCTCGAGTTCGCCGACGAGGACAGGATCAAGGAAGTGATCCGGAAGTATAGCAACTTCGTGGGGAATCCCATCTTCCTGAACGGGAAGCAGGTGAACACGATCCAGGCCGTGTGGCTCATGGACCCGAAGGACGTGAGCGAGGAGATGCACGAGGAGTTCTATCGGTTCGTGGGCAACTCGTACGATCGGCCGAGGTTCACGCTGCATTACAGGACGGACGCGCCCGTGAATCTCAGGACTCTGTTGTACTTTCCCGAGGGGAAGCCGGGGCTCTTCGACCTCAGTCGGGACATGGACGTCGGGATCTCCCTATATTGCAGGAAGGTCCTCATCCGGCACCGGGCCGAGAACATCCTCCCCAAGTGGCTTCGGTTCGTGAAGGGCGTCGTGGACTCCGAGGACATACCCCTGAATCTGAGTCGAGAGCTGTTGCAAGACAGTTCCCAGATCAGGAAACTCCGGACGGTGTTGACCAACCGCGTCGTGAGATTCCTGCAAGACCGGGCCAGGAAAGAGCCCGACTCCTACCGAGAATTCATCACCAACTACGGAATATTTTTCAAGGAAGGAATCCTGACGGGCCAGGAGCAGATGGAGAAGGAAGAGATCGCCCGGCTCCTTCAATACGAATCCTCGAAGTGCCCTGCCGGGGAGCGAGTGACCCTGATGGACTACGCGAGCCGGATGAAGCCGGGCGAGCGGGACATCTTCTACCTCGCGGCCCCGAGCCGCCACCTGGCCGAGTCGTCGGCCTACTTCGAGGCCTTCAAGGCCCGGGACGTGGAGGTCCTCTTCTGCTACGAGCCGTACGACGAGCTCGTCCTCATGACGCTGAGGCAGTTCGACAGGAAGAACCTCACGTCCGTGGAGAAGGAGATGCGGCAGGAGAAGGAGAGCGTGAAGGTGGAGGAGATGGAGGGGAGCCTGCCCAAGTCGGAACTGGACGCGCTGACCGAGTGGATGAAGGACACGCTGGGCGGGAAGGTGAGCGCGGTGAAGTACACGGGGAAGCTGGACTCGCACCCGTGCGTCGTGACGGTGGAGGACATGGGCGCGGCGAGGCACTTCGTGAGGACGCAGTTCGCGGGGATCCCCGAGGAGCAGCGCTACCGGCTCCTCCAGCCCCAGCTGGACGTGAACCCTCGCCACCCGATCGTCAAGAAACTGGCCGAGCTGAGGACGGGGAACCCGGAGCTGGCGGCGCTGGTCACGGAGCAGCTCTTCTCCAACGCCATGGTCTCCGCCGGCCTCGTCGAGGACCCGAGGACCGTCCTCACCAAGTTCAATCAACTCCTCGCGCTTGCCCTCGAGAAGCATTGAATAAAGGCTGGCCGCGAGAGGCGCAACTAGCTGTGCCGGTCATTAGAGGGAACTCGAAGTGAGTTCCAGGAATTTCAAAATTCATTCTCGGGGCTTCGTCGATCGATGGAATCTGGCTTCTCCGTTGCGACGAAATCTGGCTTCTTTCACGAGGAATCCGTGGCGAAATTCCTTTTCATACCTTTCATAAATCTTTTCTAGGATACGCCAGATCGCGAACCCGGGACGATCCCGTTGCAGCAACGAAAAAATATATATATATATAAAAAATAAGTACATAAAAAAATAAGTGAATAATAAAATGCTTGGGAAGAAAAAGTGGAATCGCGGGAGAAGCGGGATGTTGTGCAGGATGTAATCACTCTTTTGGAAAATCCGTTTTCTCCTCCGTCGGGATGCCGGGATCCAAAAAATGCCCGCGTTTACGATCCATCCGGCCTTTTCATGGGCGATATATGTCACGATTCCGCGTGGGCGAGAGAAAAGAAAAGACCTTTCCCTTTTCTCGTCTTCCCGCCAGACGGAAAGTTTTTTTTTTTTTTTGCTTGTGACAGTTGCCGCAGAGGTCTCGTGGATTTACAGCTTGCTCGGCTCCCCTGACATTGTTTCTTCAACTGTCTGTCAGCGCGAACGCTGTCAACTTCATCGGTCGACCCCCGTTTCTCCCGACCGCATCGAAAAATACCTTTCTTTACCTCTACTCACCCATTCTTACCCCTTTTTTTACCCCACCATTTTGCCTCCTTTTCTGGCGAGAGACTCGCGCGTCCAGAGACACCTTGCGGCGAAATACCAAGGCGCAACTCGTCCTCGCTTCCGCAGATGGCACTGCGGTGCCGATGCGTTGGCATCGCGTTTTCCCAATTAAAAAAAATTATTTTCAAAATTACAAAAATGAATAAATTGAAGCTGAATTGTGGGCATTGGCGGAGAAGCCGGAAATCGGCGAAGCAAGATGCGAGCTGAATCTAATTTGCATCTCATGATGCGATTCGATTTACTTTGCATATTTATGAATAAAAGCAATTTTGATTTTATTTTATGCGGAAGTCATTCTCGATTCCTCGATCGTGATCGCAATCGCCACGTGCCGAAGAGACATTTAATATGGATGGAATAACATTTTCATATGTAACCTGATTGCGGCACACTAGCTAATCATGACTTGTTTCGATCGTGAGACGGTACTCGCAATTTAAATAGCGATTTGGTACTTAAGTGTTAAATGAGTACTTATTAGGAAAAACTGAAGTCCCTGGATGGAACAAGCCTTCGAGGACCTCGAGGGCTTTCGAGGACCTTCGAGGGCTTTTCGAGGACCATCGAGGGCTTTTCGAGGACCATCGAGGTCCGTCCTCGAGGGCTGCTCCCCGCAGAGCACGAGTTTGTCAACAGATCGGTAAGACTCCCGAGGGAATGCAGAAAGGTGGAAGTACTGGAAAGTACCTGGAAGGCAGTACGCTTGGACCTCGGACGCATCGACGATGAAGACGCGTCGGGGAAACGAGTCCAGGTCCCCCCTGAGTCATGTCTGCGGTTAAAGGTCTCACTCTGCGGTCAAGAAGCGTATGCAAACGAACGACAGGAATCTCGGCGGGGACAAAATGCCCCCTTCCTCCCTCTCTCTCTCCCTCTTTCTCTCCCTCTCTCTCTCCTCTCTCTCTCTTTCGACGTAGATCCGTGAGAGATCCCGGAAAAACCTTGGCCTTCGGGGTCCTTGAAACGGATCCGGCCGGGTTTTTTCCTCGCCGGTCCAGTCTCGTTTTTGTCCCGGTCGTCAGCAGTCGCGGCCGGTGGACGGTGGATAGCGGAAGGTAAACGGTGGATCGCGGAACTAAGACGGTGGATCGCGGAACTTAGACGGTGGATCGCGGAAGGTGGACGGTGAATGCCGGACGGTGGATGGTGGACGGTGAACGCCGGATGGACGGTGGATCGCGGATGGTCGCCTGACATGTCCAGGTCGGAGCCTTTCCTTTCTTTCCCTGCATTTTTAATCACGGGTTCCATCCTAATCAGTTGTGGTTCGGTCTGCTTTTGTACGCTATGATGGATGCACTCAGCGGGACCCGAGTTTTTCCTCATCGCAGATGCGCGTCGGCTCGTCGTCGATGCGCGCCGGCTCGTCCCGGATGGAAAATTCGTTTCACTCGTAAATCAGTCCGTTCTTCTTCCATCTTTCTTCCTATAGGCTCTGATATCAATGAATTTGGTGGCCGGTCCTCGGCGGGTCAGACGGCTATAACTATCGACAAGGCCTGTAATTTCTCCGGCAGTTGAGCCATGATATGTAGCCGGCTTACGAGCCGCAATTGGGGATACGTTCGCCGTATCACTGCTGATTTACTCACCCATGTGTCATGGGGTAATGGAGCAGATTTTCATCGAAATTTCCCTCTCGTCCCTTTTCTCCGCGAAACCGTTCCTCCCCCCTCCGTGGGAAAGTCGTACTTTGTGCAGTACCTCGGAATGCAGGAGGCAGAGTCCGCATGCTTGCTGTCGTCGGGAGTTATGCTTGCAGTCTTCGGGAGTTATGCCTGCGGTCCTCGGGAGTTATGAGCCACATAAGCAAAAAAAAAAGATGAGAATGCGCTGATTAAGATGATGGAAACCCCGCGACCCCGGTAATACCTTCGGCCCGCGAATTATCCCCGATAATTCGCAGACGATGCGAGAACTCCACAAAAACCCGTTTTGCAAGTTGACAGGAAAAAAAACCCTTTCTCCTCACACAAAGGCCAAGCATAAAAAAAAATTCCAGAAAAAAAAAAAAAAAACGGTGCGACAGAAATCGTCGCAAGTACTTCGCAAGTACCTTAATGTGTACTCTCTGTACTTTCACGCGAGGAAACGAGTTTGCCTCGCCCATCGAATCCCTCTCGGCGAAAGCATCGCAGCTCCCCATCCACCCTCCGCGCTCACAAGCCACCTCCGAGCCACCTCGAAACCACCTCGCCCACTTGACCTTGAAGTACAGGCCACAGGTGAGGCGAAGAGGCCTCGTCAGCACGCGATTCTACACGTGGATTCTCACGAATGGGGCACGTATCCCGGTAATGAGGCGCGCATCCTGGTGATGAGGCGCGTATCCTCGTGATGAGGCACGTATCCTTGGCTCGGTGCTGGGTACTTTGGCGTTTTAGACAGGTTAAAATATCCCCACTTCAGTTTTTAGCGCGAGTCTTAATTTTAGCGAGGAACATATTTCCGCAAAATGCTTTTGCTAAATTCCAATTTAAGAAATTCCTTTCTTAGCTCGGCGTTTTGCACATCCGAGCTTCAGACAATGCTCAGTCTAATGCTTTTATTTTAGAAACAGAATTAATCTTTGCTTAGATTTAGCATTTAATGAACAGACTTTCTACAGTTACTAGTTTTACAACTTCACAGTTCGAATTATTCCCCTAAAAACTCCCATCATCTCATCTGCTTGGCCGCCTGTTCCAGATACTTTTTATTTTTTTTTCAAAAAGGGGCCAAAAAAACTCGACCAAAGAATTCCTAACTGCAGAGTGCAGAAACATTCGGAGTGAATATTAATTTTCTCCTTCAATGTTTCTATGATGCATCATTTTCATTGTCCTCTCTCCTGCAAGAATTGGCCCTTTATTTTTTAAAACGTGGCCTTTATTGCGCACGCGACCGTCGGCATCAGCTGCCGAAATTCCCTCGGCCCAGGCTCGACTCGTCGACCTGCACATGCTCGCTCGACATTCGATATGCTCAGCATATCCGCGTCGGATATGCTGTGCTTCATGCTCAGCATGAAGAGTCAAAGCCGATCCGAAGAGTAAATAAAAATCTCGAGTCGCGAAACGCGAACCGCCGAGTGGATATCGATTTCGGCGGTTTTGCGTGCAGAATGAAAGCACCGAATCTTTTCTTTTTTTTTAGCAAATAACTGATGCAATTTTCCACAGAGGAAAAATTTTGCATACGATTATGAAAATTTTTTATGAAGCAATGAGCTACCAAGGCCCTTTACCAATGCCCTTTACCGAGGCCGGGGCGGGGGGGGGATTTCACCTTCCAAGAAATTCATTCATTCGACGAAAGTAATTATCTTTTTTTGCAATCTTACGTCGCAGTTGAAAATCGCCGGAAATTAATCGAATGTGTTTGCACCGAGAACTCGAAAAAGTACTTGATTGAAGACCCTCGTCTGCTCTCGATTAAAAATTTATTTATGCATACCGACTTCGCCGGAATAAACGGCATGCGTATATTTCTCGCCCCGGGGCCACGGTGTCTGTCATGGGGCGGACCTTCCCACCCGATGTCTTCTGCCCCTGATGTCTTAATGAACCCCTTCTGTATTTCGCTGGAGACCCGGAGTGTTTCGGGGAGAAGGCACACGAGCCACTTTCGAAGCTGGACGTGACGTCGACGCGCATTCCCCAAGCGATGGGGGAAGCATGTCGTCGTCGACCCGAATGGACCGTGTTGACCTGTCAAAGCATTCTGTCCGTGCTCTTATTTGGATTCGATATCGATGGGGAAGAAACCATGCGACAACAGGGGGAGCCAGGCGACAACCTCGAGTTAAGGAGCAGCCAGGCGACAACCTCTAGTTAAAGAGGAGCCAGGCGACAACCTGGAGTTAACCCTTCAAGAGTTATATTTTCCCATAGGCGCTACCCTCACAGTTTTACTTCTTTCCCTCGTAAAGCGTCAAACGGGTAAGCCAGTATTGCTTTAATGCCTTTTTATTACTGACAACCAGATGCATGTAACTAACCTCTGACGAGGCAGCCTCGCTCCTATCACTCCTCCTCCTACCACTGCCAGGACTTCAAAGCTCACGAACGAGTACATCTCGTCAGTAACAGTGACAGCTGGTTTTGCTTGGACGAGTTGCTCGTCACAAACACTCTGGGGGTTAAAGAGGAGCAAGGCGGCAACCTTGAGTTAACCCTTTCCATGGCAAAATAATGTGGGAGTGGTCAGAGATGCACTGAACTCAAGCCAAAACTTGTAACTGAGGCTCTTAGCTATTCCCA